ATTGACTTTAATCCTTCAAAAACTCTATATTATAATCGCCTACAACAATCACGTTAACGCTGCTATCATATTATTATTGTGTAAGTAATTTAGAAGTGCTATACGGTGATGACTAAGATTTTAATTGGAGTAAACCGAGGGGTAAACTATATTCTACAGGTGAGACATTTGGGCCCCAAGATGAAATTTCCGCACCTCAAAGAAAAATCAGATTGAAATTATGCGAAATTAATTATTGGTTAGCATTTTTGTCCCTCGTCGCATTTTTCTCCCATTAGTCCCTTAAATGGAAGGCAAGGCGCGTTGATTTAGTTCACGGATTTGTACTATTTGAAATGTTTTATTAAAAATGTGTGTGGTGGTTACTTATCGTATCATCGTATCATAAAAAATGCCTGTTACTGATGACCTGTTTGTGATGAACAGACCTGTTTCTGATGATCAAACCTATTTCTGGATGAATAACCTGTTTCTGATGACCTGTTTCTGATGATCAGACCTGTTTTTTAACAGGCCATGTATAGACGACAACCACGATGACTTTTAGTAAGTTTAGAGCGCGCTTGAATCTCACGTCTTGCGCGTCATGTGACTGTCTTGCATAGGTGACTCCTTATCTACTCTTATTCAATGACGCTATCTTCTTGGACCTCATCGTTTCTCCCATTTATTTATTTATTTATTATGGCAAAAATTGATGAAATGCTAAGATAAAAACAGTCAAAACCTCTTACCAGTGAACTTTTGAATCACTGCTGCGGTACGGCGTCTTATGGTGAGATAACTCAGCAACTGCAGGTAGAATTTTGATCCTACAAAATAGGGAAATTTCATTCATTAATGATTAAAGGAAAGATAGCTACTTACGTCTCAAAGTATATACCTACACTGTTAAAACTTGTGAAGGATAACACGCCTAATGTCTATTTTGGCAGAATTTTTTTTTGTTCACATTGCACAAAAAATTGTAATAATTTATCCTTAAATACTCATAAAATGAATTTATTCAAGTAAAATCCAAATTACATTTGTGCTTTATTGTTTAATACACTTCACAGGAACGTTAAATTAGTAAACAACCGACTGTTTAAACCTGTGAAAGAACATTATATAGTCAGTAAAACATTTTATATTTAATCGCCCTAATGTATTTAAATACTGTCCCCAATGCCAACCATTCACTCGAATTTGAATCAAGTTTAATTTGTTACCTGCCACAAGTTAGGTATTTCAAACGCATGTGCGGATAATCGAACCAAGGAAAGCTCCTCCTTAGGAGTGTGATTCATTTTTGGGCATTAATATTGCAGACGATCCGCCCATGCAAAAATTATGGACATTTCAAAAAGAGTAGATGGTACGCACCGAATCAAAGCACAACTGAATACTTTGCCTTTAAAGGAATTGTATTTTACAAGCCCTATTCATAAGCCTTGTTGTGACGTGTTAGTGACGTCATTGTGGTTCTATAGACATACCTTACTTTATGTCAGGAAATTAACAAATGTATAAAATTTTATAAGCGCAATATAGTGCAAGTCTCGACATCATAGTGAACCATATAGCAAAAATAGTAGCTCTTAAAATAAGGATCTGAAAGCCACATAGCCGTAGGGACGTACACACGGACGGACGGACCCACGGACGCCACAGTAGCACATTTTCTGACATACTGCACAGGAATTCCAGTTGCAAATAATTGATTTAAGACTCCGTCTGTTTTTTTACTAAATGGGAAATTGCAACCAGAAAACTGTATCATAAAAATTATTAAAAGTAAATGTCTGCGACTAGATGTGCGGTTCTCCATTAACTTTACCTTTTTTACTCCCCTGGTTTACTCAAGAGATCTCTTTCTTTTATCTGAAATTATTGCTCTACAAAAAGGAGTTCTAAGGTATTTTAAAGATGCATCTCTTTTGTTACATTGGTTTTCTATTGAATTGCCTATTTACTAAATTTTTACCTGTCATAAATTTGGATAGTTAATGTCTAAGTCGAGGTGGCCATCTCTTTTTCTACCTCTAAATCGATCAATAATTTGAAATAGAATCGTTAATAATTTACCTCTGAACTTGGTTTCCTTACAGTAAACTTTAATGGAATCCTTTTTGATTCCGCGAGATAAAAATCTGATTAGACAGGTTGACAAATTCAGGGATTCATTTTGATAACAATACACAAAAGAACAATAATTTGCATGGTTCTCGACAACTTTAATCGTAATGATACAATAGGTCAATAGGTCAAATTTCCTTTTTATTTATTTATTTATTTATTTGTTTAACCAGAAACCATACAGAATAAAAATTCCAATTACATGGCACTGGGGCTCTGAACAAATATTAGGACTTAAGATCTAATTTTATTTATTATTGAATTTAGGGGATCGTGAAAAAAGTCGATATCATTAACTGAGGACAACTTATTTAAAGTGATCAAGATCTTAATAAGTGGGGAAGTTGTGTTGTTAACTACAAAAATACTATTATTTTGCCTTAGCTTAACAAATGGTACCTTAAGCTTAATCGAATCGTAAAGCTATCGATTAAAATTTTTAAATTTTTTTTTATAACTAACCTTTTATTTACAATTCCTTCCACGATATGGAAATTACATTACCTGACTCGGAAATTAAAGTGCTCGTCCCCAAAGAGGCCTAATACTTCAATATATCCTCGCCATTTTCGTGACGTTTATGTAAATAACTATTTCTATAACAATCCAAAATGGAATAGTAATGGCAGAGACACTTTGTTAATTTTTATTGGTTCGTCAACTTTCAGGGTTGTTTATAGAAAAGCTGACTCGACAGATTTTCCCAAAGAATACTTAATTTGCAGCGTAGGATGTAGGTATGTAACTTATTCTGACCTCCTTTTAGCATGTAAAACAGTACCAACTCTCGACCGATTCGATTTAAAACAATGAACTCACTGATAGACATGACGCAGATGATTAAAAAAGTGTTCTTGAGCATATTTTAATGGAAAAAAATCGCAAAAAAATTTCCGTAAAATAATCTCTCTCGTTATTTCTTTATAAGAGACATCCTCTGTTAAAATTTCAGAAAAATTAGTTCACAAAAAAGTTGAATTTGCGCATGAGCAATCTGTTTTTTATATATGCGTACAGTTTTATAAATACCAATTCAATTCGTTTTGCAAGAAGCATATTTGGTTACAATTTCAGAAAACCGTGGTACACAAGTAAAAAGTCTCAAATTATGGTACATGAAAAAAATTGATTCTTTACTATAACTTTTTGTGTAATAAAAGCAGAAAGAATTCCTTCCTTGGTGCAAGCCTCGACTTCATAACGAATCAAATAACGAAAATACTCGAATAAGTAGCGACAGGTACGGACAGACGGAATCGCAAAGTGGCGCTAAAAATACTATTGCTATTTAAATTTAATTAAGATGATTTATAAGATTAGTTACGGGATAGGTAGTGGAAGAGTTACATATAGGGTTTATTTACAATGTAATTTTATTAAAGAAGAACTTTTTTCAGCAAAAAATTAAGAAGAAATGGATTATTTGGACGCGTTGTACGGAGAAAATGAGGGAATTGAGAGAGGAAAGGGAGAAGTTTCGTGAGGAGACGGAAAAATTGCATTTAAAAAATGTTTATCCGCGTATAATTAAAAGATATAATTAGCGTATTAAATTACTACCTTATTGATTAATTAAAAATAATTGCGGATTTCCATTGTGGTTTTTAAAGTAGCCTCTTTCTTAAACTAATTTAAACGGTTAAATATTCTCATTGGAATATCACTTTGTTGTAACAAGGCTGACGACAAAGGTCACGTTTAGTTGATAGGGAGATCCAGATACGCCACACGTAATTAATTGGGGGTATTGTCGTTAATTTGTGCTCACCGCTCTTTTATTTAATTGTGGTTACTAAATTCTATTTTTGTACATCCAATTTCCAGAAATACACTAATACGTTAGTAGTGAATAAATTATCTGTTTCAAGTTCCCCAGTTTGTAACCCCCAGCAAGTAACCATTACGATCTTGTTAAACGAAGATTCTTGAGACCAACCCGCTTTGAATAAAATTAGTGGTATAAAAAAAGTGTTTTTCAAAAATAGGCGTCTGCGATCTAATTGCTGTATCAGGGACGAACTTTATAAGTGTCTCGGGAAAGGGACCCGTATTAGAAGAATACTTGTGTGTGCGAGTAGACCTAACTACAGTGCTGTTTGGCCGTATACAGTGTGCCCATGATAAGATATTAAAATTTGAATTGGTCCTTATTTCTCTTAAAATATCGTCGCGGTCAAGGCGGAACGATCCTGTAACGTAAATGATCAAACCACATTTACTCGCAAAAACATACCTCCTTCGCATTGGTAGGAAATATTCAAACTTCATTTACAGTTGTATGTCAAATGTCAAATGAATCCCCGTTAGGTACCAAAAGAAAATTATATTCTACAAAACACTATGTACAATAACAATAAAAAGAGAATTTCAGATTTCTCTGCCTCTGGTTGGAAGGATTGGATGGTTAGCGGTCACGGTCTTCGTTTTACTCAAAAATGCGCCCGGACACTGCTACCGCTTTATGGAGATGATACTCGGTATAATTTTCGGTCTTCTAGGTGTCACCGCGAAGAAGATTCGCTCGCAAAAGCACGGTTCGAATCCGCCAAGATTCGGTGTCTGAGGCTGCCCACGGAAACACTTTCTTTCTCATCCGAATTCACTTATATTTATACCCTCTTTAATTAAGGTGCACCTATCTAACTACCAGTCTTCTAGGTCGTCCAGTATCGTCTGAAGGCTCCTAGAGATGTCCGCTGGTTGCCACGATCTTGTCTGGGTGGCGACGTCGTTCGTGTAGAGAGCCAGGGTGGTGTCTCCGGCATGTCTCGAACGTATAGAGAGAACAACAACGGCGAGGCCGTTGATACACACCTCAAACATGCTCACTTTTTAAAGGTTAGGGTAAAAAGGATTAGATTAAATTACCAGTCATTACTCACTACAATAAATGACGTTTATTTATACCTTTTAAGTACCACTGGCATTATCTGTAATTTGGACGTTCTCATTCAAAAGATTATTCTTCAGCTCAAATTCGGCCTGTGACTTTGGTGAACAGAATCTGCGAACGCAAGGTATTACAAGAGCAGGATCTACTTCGCTATCTTTGGTCGTAAGTACACTAATAAGGACCCCAATCAAAATGGTAAGTGCTGTACCAATACCGGTGTAATATTGAAAGGACAGCCTGAAGAGCCACAGCGGTGCTTCCGAAATGGGAGTGCTACGAATAATTCGTTAGGTCTTACAATTCTCTGGTGGAACTTACATTGTCGTAACAAGCGATTGGTTCAAGTAAGTTGCGTTACAATCAGTTGTACGCAATGGCTTTGGTGGGTAAGAAATCGCGCCGTCCCAGACATATATTTGATGTTGAATTATGAGGTATGACATTATCCCTACCGAGGATAATACTCCAATCAGTGCGCCCTAGAATACAAGGTTTGCTGAGTTTACCCAGTTGCCCCACTCACCCTTGCATTGCTCCTGGGGATAAGCAAACCGAGCGTAAAAGCTCCCAACAAGGGACCCTCCGTAATACCATGAACACAATGTAACAACTCAAATAAGGATCCCAATTTCTCTGCGACAAATACAAGGGATACGCTTATAATTCCTACGATGGCTGTGATGACTTTTAGAACTGTGCTAGAATTTGCCCATTTTCCTCCTTTTGGCAGGATATGAATGAAAAAGTCAAGGTAACAAATGGCAGAGATCGAATTAAAAAAAGTCGACAAAACACTAAAAGACTAATATTTTTCAGTGAAACCGGTCACAATTACTTTACCCCAGAGTTGTGGTGCATAATCCCGCCACGAACAATCCGCTAAGCCCGGGTACGGATTTCCCTATATCAGTTACAAAGTAAGGGAAGATTTGGTCAAGTTTTTTAATTAGTCCTATCGAGAATGGATCACAATTTGCGTACTTGGCGTAAACGACTAGCCCCAAAAAGCAACAGAGCAGCTTGGATAGTCCGGCTAAAATTGTAGTTACCATATTGGCCCTGAAAATTTCAAGGTATAGTGACGAAACTGTTAATTACGGTTGCGTACCTTTTCGCACGTTGGAGTGAAGGTAACGATATTGATCGCTGAACTCCTGCGGGTGGAATGGCTAGAAATCCCAACCATAAGAAGATGTTTCCGATTACGACCGATAAAAATGTGTTTCTAACTGTTGGATCTGGATTCATGCTGAAAGTGCGTTTTACGTGTTGTGATTTACATAGAAGTGGTAGACCAAACTGCTTTAAGAGCCACCATATTCAATGTGTGGTCTACTGCTTCCAAGTGACCGATATGCGTACTTAAAGAACTCTATCCTCTGGCCGTCGGAAGATTTCGTCCATACCTCATCCACACCGCCTACTAGAGAGATTCCCTTGGCTAACACGTAAAGTATGGTACCGAAACTGATTAACACTTGCAATGAGTCCGTCCATGCCACTGCTTCTATGCCTCCAATTGTTGTATAAAAAATACAAACGCCCGCAATAACCCAAGCGATCACGTGTAGATTAATCCCAGTTACTAAAAACGTTTTACATGTCTGTAAGCTTGGGTTCACCGTGCTTACCTTGATTAAGCGATAAGGACGAAGCATAAATAATTATAGGCATCATCAACAATTTTGTCAAAATGTATATAAGAGAGGCTACATTTTTTATGGACTTATCAAATCGCATTTCGAAATAGTGATAAACGCTTTGTAACTGTAAATTGTAAAATACGGGCAAATAGACAAAGTGATTTATCAAACCGGCGATTAAAATAGACACGATCATTAGCCATACTTGTGTGCCATACGTGTATATTTCGGACGGTACTCCTACGATGGCTATTGGCGAAACTGTCCTAAAATGATGACTTATCTCACGATTTATTCAAAAGTATACTTACCCAGTAACAAGTGACAATGTTATGGGAAGCGTTGCCATCTTTCTTCCTCCAAAGAGGTAACCATCGAGCGTTTTTTGCTTTTTGTAGAAACCAAAATAGAGTCCAATGCAACAGTTGACGATTAACAAAATAGCCAATAGCGAATAGTCTGCGATAGAGAACGTAGCGTATTCCATCTTTACACGAACTAATGATCTCTGCCGGCGGTCGTAAACTTAAAACCTTCAATTCGTAATTAATTTCGATTCTATTATGCCACAAATTAAGAGAAATGCAAATGGACATTATTTCGTTATTTTCACATCGAGCGTTCAATAACGCAGTGCAATGGCGTGTAATGGCGAATGCCATTAAATTAGGGAGAGGTACGAGAAAAGACTTCAGTTGGACACGACGAAGTACCTACTCTATTGTTGCACAGGTTCTTAACGAGGTAACCACACCTATCATTTTTGGTGAACCTGTGATGTATAGATACAATAATTGGTATTTAGACCACAGAAGCACCAACTCGCTATTTTTTATAAAAAGGTTATAATGCAGGGCTGAAGAGTCCCGGGGATTCTTAATGGAAGCAAGCGTTTTTTGCCATTCCTGTTGTACAAAACGTTCAAGCCTTCAAAATACGCCTCCTCATTCGATGTGAGTTTCGTTCCCTGATGCCAAAAGCAAGCATCAGGGTGAAAAATGTTAATTACTTACAAAAAAGATGTGTCTTGATGAGATCTACAAGAAAGGCTTTAAGTACACTTTTTTGCGTTGGGTACAAAATAAAGGCGCTAGAGAGCATTCTCTAACTAAATGTATACTATTACCAAAGATAATTGCAATGACTATCAAAAGTAGTCGGAAAGTCAAGTCAGGAGTTTCTGACAACTAGTTTTTATTTATTTCGTCTTCTAATTTGTCTAGTAGCGCTGCATAGTACTCTGCGGTAACTGTTCTTCCCTTCTGCAGGTAATTTATGAAGCTAACCAAAAGACCAACTCGGCAGTAAATGAACCCTTGAGTTTGGTTGATTAAAATATTGAAATTACAGGATAAAGGATCAATGTTCTTGAGCGAAAACGAAATTCGAATCTACACCAAATTCAAATTTACACATTATCATTTAATCAGGCATTGAAAATTGATTGTATCCTTTAAGCCCCAGTTGCACCAACAAAATTAAGCCTTACCTAAGTTAAGTCGAACTTAAAATCTATGGCAACGCTTATTAAGGCAATCGTTGCTACGGTATTTAGGTTATGATTAACTTTAAGGGATACTTAATTTTGACGGTGCAATTGGCCCTAAGGGCAATAACTCAAAGTTATATTTTACAAAATTATTTCTACATCAAATCTCAATGATTTCTATAAATGGAACTAATCTTGGACTACAGATCTTCTCGTTCATGGAAAGGATTGATTTTCTTAACTGCTAGATACTTTTAGTACAAATGAATGTTGCAGATGTTGCAAATGTTGCAGATTTTCTGTTGAAAATGCGCCTCTTCAAGTTATAAGAAATGAGTCCTATGTTAAAACCCAAAATCTCTATCGCGGACTTTGACTTTTCGGTTACAGGGCCAATCGGAAGACTTCATTGAAGCCAGAAAAGAACTCAAAAGAATGATCCACATTGCTCATAAGAGGTACATTAATCAAATTGAAATAGATCTGCGGAAGAATTCCAATAAATTCTGGAACTACATCAAGTCGTTGAGGAAGAATAGTCAACTACCTGGAATTTTTGAGTACAAAGACACCTCGTTAACGGACGCCAGAAGCATTACGGACGCCTTTGCATCCTTCTTCGAGTCAGTCTACACTGTTGAGAGGAACGATGACCCGGAAGATGACGTGGAATCGGACCTGGTGTTATCCAAATTGCACTTGACTCAGTTACATGAATCCGAGATACTGGAAGCAATTAAAAAATTGAAACCGAGGTCGGCTATGGGCGAAGATGGAATCCCACCCTACATCGTGAAAGGATGTGCATCTTTATTGGTAACCCCCTTACTACATCTATTTAATTTAGCTTTGCAAACATGTACATTCCCTGAAGCTTGGAAATGCACCAGAATAACACCAATTCACAAAAGTGGAAGCCGAAAATTAGTTGAGAATTATCGCCCAATTGCAATTATACCAGCAATAGCGAAAATTTTCGAAAGAGTGATCTATACTAGACTTTATTCCCATCTCAGCAGTATAATTGCAGATCAACAGCACGGTTTCACGCGGAACAGATCAACGATTACCAATTTAATGCAGTTTACGCATTTCTCAGCAGCAGCCTTGGATGAGAGAGCCCAGGTAGACTGTGTTTATACACATTTTGCGAAGGCATTTGACACAGTATCCCATCAAGTCTTGCTCCGTAAACTTGTTTTAAATTGCGTAAGTAATCCGACCGTCAAATTCCTGAAATCATATTTATCTCTCCGTAAAACAAGAGTGAAATTCAATGGTGTGAATTCAGCCGAATTTTATCCCTCATCAGGCGTTCCCCAGGGAACACTTCTTGGTCCTTTTCTGTTTCTCTTATACATAAATGATTTACCCCGAGTGATAAAAAACTCGAAAGCACTACTATTTGCGGACGACCTAAAACTTTTTAATAAAGTCCAATCCGCAAGTGACTGTTTAAATATTCAAGAGGACATTAACTCAGTAATTAAGTGGTGTATCAAAAATAAACCAAAACCAAATATCAATAAGTGTAAAGTCCTTACTTTTACTAGATCGAAAAATCCTTTACTTTTTGACTATAAGATGAATGGAAAGGTCTTACTACGAGTCACCTCCGTTAAGGACCTGGGCGTGTTTTTCAATACCAACCTTAACTTCAACTTACACATTGAATACCTAACAAATGAGTATTACAAACTTCTTGGTTTCGTTATCAGAAATACACTCAATTTCACGAATATACAGACAATGCTAACCTTATATAATGCGTTTATTAGATCCAAGCTTGAGTATGCTGCATGTATCTGGTCTCCTGAAACTCTCAAATACTCAGACATGATCGAAAAAGTGCAGAAAAAGTTCATCCGAGTAATGTTTTTTAGGTCAACCCAAAATTATCCACTTTTGATCTCTTACGGTACCCAGCTTAATTACTTAAATAGTACTTTCGGCTTAAATATAACGAGGTTAGAAACCCGACGGTACATTGCCTCCACAATTTTTGTCTTCAAAATTTTACACAATTTGTTAAACTCTTCCGAATTACTTCAAGAAATTAAGCTTAAGGCACCATTTGTTAAGCTAAGGCAAAGTAATACGTTTTTTGCAGTTAACAACACAACTTCCCCACTTATTAAGATCTTGATCACTTTAAATAAGTTGTCCTCAGTTAATGATATCGACTTTTTTCACGATCCCCTAAATTCAATAATAAATAAAATTAGATCTTAAGTCCTAATATTTGTTCAGAGCCCCAGTGCCATGTAATTGGAATTTTTATTCTGTATGGTTTCTGGTTAAACAAATAAATAAATAAATAAAAAATTTGAAAAATTGGCCTACTTCTAGACACATTTAATGAACCGACGTCGTCATTAAAAGCTTTAGGCTTTGCAGCAACGCCTAGAGGCTATCAACGAATCTTGTGGCGTTTTTCACCTAAAGACCCTATATTGGTACATCATTTAAACACTGTGTCATTCGGAATATCATCGACCCCTTGCCTTGCTATGGTAACTCTAAGCGAATTGGCAGAGAGAGGCACGGAAACTTATCCTTTAGCACCCAAAATGTGTGTTGATGATATTCTCGCAGGCAGCACTTCGATTGCTAACGCCCTTAAAGCATGCGGCCCATAACAATCTAACATGGAAATGTTAATATATACCTTGTTAATTACCTATTTTATTAGATATAAGCAGTGTATTCATATTATGGCGACTTCCATTAAAAGAAAATTAAGCATTATAAATGTTGAGGTAGTATAAATTACCACTTCATCAGTTACTTGTTATGAGTTGTTCGCTGAAGTGGTTACCTCTATTTTTTCAATTTAGAGAACAAAGAAAAGGATTCATTGACAATTTCACTTTCGATTTGGTTGGAAACAACCTAAATTTTGTTAAAAATAGAACATACCGTTTTTTATAATAATAATAATAATAATAATAACTCCATGACTCCATTTAATAAAATTACAGGAATTATTATAATGATTTTTTTTGTTTTGTTTTGTTTTCCTCTTTCCTGATAGCGTTGGCTATTGTGCCCATCAATAGGTATGTTGGTAGGTATGAATTATATACTATCCCTAGATTTAAATGTACGTGTGATTTTTTTTTTTTAGGACCCTACATAACCTCACCAGACACAGACATAGACACAGACACTAATCGTTACTTGATTTTAATCCGTGCGATTAGTTAACCAGGCTGGACCTGAGTTCTCACAAGAAACACCGACCATAATAATAATAATAGTTTTATTTAGTTAACCCTCAGACAAAACAATAATAAAATTAAAAACAAACCACATTCGAAACAAAAATTTCAACCAAAGATCTTAGAAACTAAAATTTAAACTGAAAATGCTAAAGGTAACTAAATGGGTCAAAGTTCAGGCACAGGTGAGAATTCACCTGATTCTGTTCTTCCACTTTGCCCTCTCATTGATAATTAAACTCAAAGACGTTGTGCAATGGAATGACAGACGAAATGAAAAACACAATTATGATAACGATCAAATGATGAATTGTACTGCGATGGTTCATGGGTCAAAGATGAAATTGTGACACTATTAATTTTGACGGTCAAGCACCATTTTGTGGATGTATTTTTTAAATCGAGGTGGATCCAGGTTTTTGTACCAGTCCGCTAAAGAGTTATATAAATTAGTTATTTGATACGTAAAGGATCTCTCGAATAGAGTTGTATTATGATATGGAGGAGTAAGTAAATATTTCACTCTAGGATTAGTGCTGAACTTAATTTTATCATACAGGTATGAAGGTACTTGTGTCTTAATGACTTTATGGAATAGTAGGGCAGCATGAACATATCTCCGATTTTCCATATTCAACCAGCGTAATTCATTAAATTTGTGGGAGATATGTTCATACTTCCGGATTCCATAAATTAACCTCACACATGAATTTTGCATACGCTGAATTTTATTCCTATCAGAAATGTCTAGACAAGGTCCATAAACACTGTCACAATAATTGAATTGTGTAAGCACCAAAGACTCACATAGCAGAATTTTTGTGTTTTGATTAAAAAGATGACGATTCTTAAAAATTAGTTTAAGTTTCACGTATGCTTTTCTAATCATTTCAGATACTTGTTTTTTAAATCTTAAAGAGTGGTCTAGTGTTATTCCTAAATATTTCAAATTATCTTTAACTGTAAGCACCGAATCTTTTACAAGTACACGTATATTAGAACTGCATTCAACTCTGGGTTTATTCCTACCAAACAGAATTAACGATGATTTGGATGCATTGATGTTTAAACCGTGTGCCTCAGAGGTTTCAACCAAAGTCTTAATGTCTGCATTGAAATTTTGAATCGCAAACATTGTGTCTTTTGGGTGAAAATCAAGATATACTTGTGTGTCGTCAGCGTACTGATGTAGTTTTACATGCTTTAAATTTTTAAAAAAGTATGATGTGTATATTATAAAGAGCAGTGGGCCTAAAATAGACCCTTGAGATACACCAGCCGTGATGTCGATTATGTCAGATTTGATTCCATTAACCATCACTGACTGTGTTCTATTATGAAGATAGTCTTTCAATAAACAGCATGCATTTGAACTAAACCCAATAAAAGTTAGTTGACTTATTAATATTTTATGAATTACGGTATCAAAGGCCCTGGAAAAGTCCAATGCCGCAACTAACGAACACTTACCACAATCTGATGCTGTCAACACATCGTCAACTAAGTTAAGTAAAGCAATGTTGCAACTGTATCCACTTCTGAAACCAGATTGATTTTGTGGTAAAATATTATAATTCAAGATGTGGCTACGCATTTGCTGCATCAAAACCTTTTCCAGTACCTTCAATAAAACCGGAAGAATGCTGATGGGTCTTAAATCCTTGTATTCAGTAGGTGGATTAACTTTGGGTAAAGGTATAATGTTTGCAGATTTCCATACATCTGGGATAGAATTGGAAGTTAGACAAAAGTTTATTATATAAGTAATATAGGGTAACAAAAAAGGACAGCACAGCAAAATCATGTTCAAACTTATACCATCTACACCAACCGCTTTGGATTTTAGCGTATAAATTATTTTCATTATAATAGAATACGCAATTTAAAAAAAAACAAAAGTACTATTTAAATCTTTAAGTTTTATGTTTTTTACTGCGTGGGCCTTTTTTGTCAGTGTGTAACAAAACTGGAACACTGAAACTTAAGAGAGTACTTGTTTAAAACAAGAGAAAGCATTAACGATAAAAACCAATTTTTATTTCAGTTGTTGCAGATGTTGCAGATACTATCAGATGTTTTCTTTCAAGAAAAATGCATTTAGAAACCTGGCGATAATGAATTCTTCTGGTGATGGTCATTACTTCATTGAAAATTTTTCTTTTTATTACAATAGCTCAATTTTGGTGTTTGTCTTTTACTTGTAAGTTTAATGAACTTTATTACTGTTTATTATTCAAAAAACCTCCTTTGTAAGGATCGCATTTAAGGGATATTGAAAATATTTAGGAGCTGAACATCCATGTCTCGCCGAAGGATTTCAAAAATCTCTAGGAAATTCCAAGAGTCCCCTAGAGGCCTTAGGAGCCTTTATTTAGAGTTATAAAGAACTGTTAGAAAAATCCTAACATGGAAGAGCTTGTTTTGGTTTTGCAGACTTACATGTTATACAGTAAACAAATCTTTCAAGAGGAAACTGGCATCAAACTATAATTCTGAAAGCAATTGCTCTCGCTTATATTTAGCCTCTGTTAACAGTATAAGTGAAAATCGTTCTGCAAAACTAAAAGTCGATATCGTTGATATCCAACTGAAGTGTTTATTTTTTAACAATGTTTAGTGGACCGAAAGTTGTAAGCCTTCAAAATTACATATGATACCTGATACATTTGAATACTAGTTTATTTTTTTTACTATGTTAGCCGCTCCAAAAATTCTGTCTCATTGCTGCAATGTGCGCGATTGGAAAGATAATGTTCAAATAACAAAATAAAATTATTGAAGTACTGAAATACTTTACCGGTTTTCGAGTTTGATGAAATATTTTCCACTTACTTCTAAAGAGTCACACATCAAAAGGTTCTCACATATAACGACACTAAGGTGTTAGTTCATCTTGAGGATTAAGACAAGACAAAGTATACTAGAAGATGCATCCTGTGGTATCTATATCTCATACCTATATAATCCATATCATGCATGAATTAGGGCGGAATCCATTTATTCTTAGAGAGTGTAAAATAATACTAATATAATCTCAATGCTAATTCTAGTAGAAAGGTTAGGTAGGTATTGTTAATTTTTGAGATACCTCTACTTTGAAAAACTAGTTTTATCGTTAATTACCTCGCTCGTGTTATAATACAAGTATCACTTAGTGTTTTAATTACCATTTATCTGTATCTCATTTGAAGAATTTTTGTACATTCCGTGAATTAATATTACGTAGGTACCCGCCAACAGAAAATTTAGTATGCAGTGACGATTTAATACATACAACTATACAAAAGAACAGTTAAATACTTCTTAAATGCAGGTGGACAGTACAAATATTTTTCACATTCTCCCATGATAGTAGAGAACATAAAGAAGCTTTGCCAATTAAGAAATATTTATGCCTATCTGAAGGTTTGCTCCTACAGGCAGAGGTCAGACGGTTGCGTTTCATAAAATGGAGGCTACGCAAAATTAACATTCGAATCGAATTAGGAATTGCTACATGGCAAAAGCATTTGATCCACAACGACCTGAAAATGATGGATTTGGTTTAACACGAGAAAATGTACTCAGCTCCAGGATGACTTTTTTCAGTTGTAAACTTGACGATCTCTGAAATAGAGCGCCCATATAAGAGGCAAAGAATTTCAGTCAAAAGGATTCAGTCCTCGGTAACGGCGTTTGAACAATTTTATCCACGGCTAATTAAAGCCTATTAAACTTTATTGAATAATTAAAAATAATTGCGAGTTTCCATTGTGAGTTTTTTAAACTAATTTAAGTAGTAAATACCCTCATTTGAAAATATCTTTGTTAACACAAGGCTAACGTTATCATTTCAATGGGTAGTCAAAGGTTATGTGATTCATGGGAGATCCAGATACGCCACACGTATAATTAATTAAGGGTCATTATCTTTAATTTGTACTCATCTCTCTTTTGTTTACTTGTAACTGCGAAATTGTTGTTTATATTTATCCCAGGAATACACGCTAATACATTATAGGGATTAAATGTTGCAAGTTCCCCAATTTCTAACCGTTAGCAAACCGCTGCGATCTTGGTACAGGGACTCAGAGACATCTGTAAAGGTAGACAAAGATGGTGCTTAAGACCAACCCGTTTTGAATAACATTTTCAGGTTGATCGGAGGTAGATTACACTTTCGTCCTAAAAAATTAGTTTCTCGTCCACAGATTTGGTACAAACAATGTAATCCCAGTGATTGTAGTTGTTTTTAACTCGACAGGCTAAAATCAACCAGAAAACTTTTTATTACGTTTTCTTGGTAGAGCTGGGTTAATTCGGGGCCGGTTTTGCAGTGCTTTTCTCTCCACAGCCTTTACAGCGACGTATCCTTTAATTCCTGTTACGGACCCCTAAAACACGCGCGCCGTAAAACCTCTACAGAGGGCGGGCCATCTACGGATAACCGTTGACAGGACTCAAATGGAAGGAGAATCTGGCATCGTTTCCGCTGCAACCAATCTTTCCACCACCCTCGTCCATTACCACTAGTAAATCCACCCTAGAGCACCTCCTCCAACACGGTGTCTGCATATTTAACAGACACGATCCATGCGAACTATCTCACATCCCGGATCCTACACCAAAACACTGCTCCATGTGCATAAAAATCGGCTAACTCTCCTCAGAATGCTCTACTCGCAACCAAGTATGTCCATCCTATTGAGAAGACCGCAAAGGTATTACCCCAGCCAAACCGATTTCGTACGTACCGTAGCTCTCACTTTTATCCATCTCTTTCCCGACCACCGTTCGGTGGTCAGCCGGGCATCTACCTCTACCATCTCTTTGCGTCCTTCTCCGGAAACGTGGTAGCGTTCTCCACTCCTTACATAATTATATCCTAATTCCAAAATAATGGATTTCGTCGTTGATACCTTTAACTACTGTGGTATACGCCGCAAACGTCCGCTCATAAAAATCCTTCTTCACTTCGATCCGGCCGTTTTACCTCCACTCCGTTAACCACCTACAATTTGAAGCCGCCACCGTCCATTTCCCAAACATCACTATCACATTTTTCAATTTTTTCAATCCCCCAGACGACTCTTTTCCGAATGATCTCTTTTACTATATTTCTACCCTCCTCCACGCCGTCTTGTTGGTGGATCCTAACTCCCGTAACACTCTGATCCGCGATTCTACCTGTAACCCTAACGGCAACCACCTTAATAACACTTCCATTTGTCGTGCTAAAAACACTACCCATACCTTCGTATCACACCACGGTATATCAACTTTGTCCTAGACACCACAATCACTTCTGATCACCTTCTATTGCTGGTTCGCACAAACTTTACCCCGCCCCATATTCTTCCCTCCATTGTGATACTACGCCACCTCTCGCCCTCCGCAATCACATTGGTATCCAGCATTTACAACCTCTTGATACTCCCGTACTTTCCAACACCATGGAAATCCCAAAACCACATGCCGATACCACCAGATCAGATAAAATGAAATAATCAATGTCCTCGCAATGCGAAAGTACACATACGCTCAGGGTTTCATTCGCACCTAAATTTAGAGCCTGCAAAGATGCACGTGTTGTTATTGCTTTATAAAGTCTAGGCCTACTTTTGCTTCTGTTCGCTATAAAGCGGTATATATGTAAATTTCCCTAACCTGGCCTAATACTCAGTGAAACGACGCCCATCGGTTTAAAGCTCTTTTAAATAATAGCTGAGAGAAACCGCAATGGGAAGTATGTGCTGATTTTGTTATAGGGAGCCGAAGAAATCTTCACAGCCTCAAAGCCCGCAACTTGCTCAAACCTGAGAGATCTGAGTGTTACCGCACTGACCATAATCCACGACCTTGGAGTCAACGCGCATCAGATAACAAGGGCAGCTCGAGGCTTTATTCTTAATAACAAGCCCTTATGTCCTAGTCTCATGCAATTTGCGCAGGAGGGCTCCTGAAGAGAGTATCCGGATATGGTCTTGTATACGGTAGGCATACACGACGGCTAACCAAGAGAGGCTTACGTACGGAACCGTATTTTAAGATGTATTTTTGTTAGATTTAATCGATTTTAATTTGAAGTTTTAATACATTTTTGCGGATTTGTATAACGGACGCGATCATGAAACATACTGCAATATCCGGAAGGAAGATTTATTGATTTAATTGATGTTTACTTTCATCATTTCCAAACTATTTTATCTTTCTCTTTCTCTACGGTGTTGATGTGGAAGGTTTGGAAATTGCTCCCAATAGTTTATCGTTTTCTTATGCACCTATTGCTTTTGTTGATGTTGTGTAGAGGAAATTTCTCTGTTTAGTGCTTATAAATTAATTCTTAGCGACAGGAGGCAATCATTTCGTCCAGAAAACTGAGAGAAGCATCTTATTGCTAGTGTTTATCGTGGGTAATTCCTTTTTTATTAGAAATTATGCAACATATATCATTTTGCATATGTGTGCATCATATACATCAAAACTGTTTGCATATTTTTCACTAATATTCTGAATATATATGCGCATATTTTACCATATATTGTGTATTTATTAATACAGGTAGTAAAGAAAATTCGGAAAAAAATTTTAAAAAAACATGTTTTTAAATTACTTATCAATAGGTAGTTGATTTTATCGAAAAAGTACTTATTACAATATTTATAGCACATATAAAGAGCTTTCATTACAATGAAAGAATAATGAAATTGGATCAATAATTCCAGAGATATAGTTGATTTTATAAAGCTCAACATCCGCCATCTTTGTTTGACCGCCATTTCTATTAGCTACCGCTTTGAGACGGCAATTATGGTTTTTTGGCATCCTAATAAACATGTATAACCACTGTAAAAAGGAAAATTGGTACCCCCAAATTATACCGTCATGTCGACTGACCCATGGACTAAAAGGGGAAATTCCAGTACCTTCTCTCGCCACATTTTTAGAGGAAAGTAAAAATTGGGAAGGGAAAACCAGTCCCTGTAGACATCAGACCCCTTTACCATTTGGACGGTTTTCGCGACGTAACACATACTCATAACGGTAAACCACTAAAGGGTTCGATTCTACCAATCAAACCACCGGCCCCTTTATACACTTAAGGAGGTTCCACATTTTGCTAAAACGGCAATGTCAAAGTCCATCAATACACTGCTTTCATTGGAAGGGTTCCATCTTCGCCGTCAAAAATGTTAAAACCATGACACTGGTTACAATATGTTTATTAATCCAAATTGTACAAAAAATATACAATAAGTACAATACAGTGCAGCTTGCCTAAAATATACAACAAAAACAAGAAAATAACCATTGGAATAAATTACCAGTCACTAGTTACTACAAATTCAGTTTACTTATAACTTTTGTGTACCACTGGAATTATCTGTAATTTGAGCGTTCTTATGCAAAAGAGTATCCTTCAGCTGAATTTCGGTCTGTGATTTTGGTGAACAGAATTGGCGAACGCAAGGTATTACAAGAGAAGGATCTACCTCGCTCTCTTTGGTCGTCAGTACACTAATAAGGACCCCAATCAAAATGGTAAGTACTGTACCAATGCCGGTGTAGTATTGAAAGGAAAGCCTGAAGAGCCACAGCGGTGCTTCCGAAGTAGAGGTGCTACGAATAATTCGATAGATCTGACGATCCTCTAGTGGAACTTACATTGTCGTAACAAGCGATTCGTTCAAGTAAGTTGCGTTACACTCTGTTGTACGCAATGGCTTTGGTAGATGAGGAATCGCGCCGTTCCAGACATATATTTGATGTTGAATTACGATATATGACATTATCCCTACCGATGATAACACCCCAATCAGTGCGCCCTAGAATACAAGTTTGGCTGAGTTTAGTCAGTTTAGCGACTCACCTTTGTATTGCTCCTGGGGATAAGCAAACCGAGAGTAAAAGCTCCCAGCAAGGGACCCTCCGTAATACCATGAACACAATGCAACAACTCAAATAAGGACCCCAGATTCTCTGCCACAAATATAAGGGTCGCGCTTATAACTCCCACGATCGCTGTGATGACCTTTACAGCTGTGCTGGAATTTGCCACTTTTCCGCCTTTTGGTAGGACATGAATGAGAAAATCGAGGTAGCAAATGGCAGATACCGAATTTAAAAGATTCGATAAAGCACTAAAAGGCGGACATTTTTCAGTGGACCCGGGCACAGTTACTTTGCCTACCCCAGAGTTGCGGTGCACAATCCTGCCACAAACAATCCACTAAGACCAGGTACTGATTTCCCAATATCAGCTACAAAGTAAGGGAAGATTTGGTCTAGTTTTTTAATCAGCCCTATCGAGAATGGATCACAATTTGCATACTTGGCGTAAGTGACTAATCCCAAAAAGCAACAGAACAGCTTGGATAGTCCGGCTAAAATTGTCGTTATCGCATTGGCCCTGAAATTGTCAAGTTAAAATGATGAAACCATTTTCATTACAGCTGCGTACCTTTTCGCACGTTGGAGTGAAGGTAACGAAATTGATCGTTGAACTCCTGCAGGTGGAATGGCTAGAAATCCTAACCATAAGAAGATGTTTCCGATCACCACTGATAAAAATGTGTTTCTAACTGTTGGATCTGGATTCATGCTGAAAGTGCGCTTTATAAGAGAATATTAAGTGTGATGTGTATAGAAGTGGTAGACCATATTGCTTTTAGTCAACTAAGAGTCGTGTGTGGTCTACTCCTTCCAAGTGGCTGACATTGCTGCATACTTAAAGAACTCTATCCTCTGGCCATCGGAAGATTTCTCCCATACCTCATCCACACCGCCTATTAGCATGATTCCTTTCACTAACACGTAAAGTATGGCACTGAGAGTGATTAACACTTGCAATGAGTCCGTCCATGCCACTGCTTCTATGCCTCCAATTGTTGTATAAAAAATACAAACGCCCGCTATAACCCAAGCGATCACGTGTAGATTAATCCCAGTTACTAAAAACCTTTTACATTTATTTAAGCTTTGGTGCCCCCTGCTTACCTTGATTAAGTGATAAGGAGGAAGCATAAATAATTAAAGGCATCATCAACAATTTTGTAAAAATGTATATAAGAGAGGCTAAATTTTTGACGGATTTGTCGAATCGTAATTCGAAATAGTGATAAACGCTTTGTAACTGTAAATTGTAAAATACGGGCAAATAAACGTAGTGATTTATCAAACCGGCGATAAAAGCAGATACGATCATCACCGAAGCTTGTGTGCCATACGTGTATATTTCGGATGGTACTGCTGTAATCGCTAATGGCGAAATTGTCCTAAAAGGATAACTTTATTTCAGGATGCATGCAAAATATATTTACCCAGTCACAAGTGACAGCGTTATGGGAAGCGTTGCCATCTTTCTTCCTCCAAAGAGGTAACCATCGAGCGTTTTTTGCTTTTTGTAGCAACCAAAATAGAGTCCAATGCAACAGTTTACGATTAACAAAATAGCCAATAGCGAATAGTCTGCGATAGAGAACGTAGCGTATTCCATCTTCACGCGAACTAATGATCTCTGCCGGCGGTCGTAAACCTAAGACCTTCAGTTTGTTATTAATTTTACTTTGCATCGAATTAAAGAAATGCAAATGGCATTATTTTATTTTTTTCGCGTGCGGCGTTCACAATTCCAAAACCTAACCACTTCGTGTAATTATTACAGCCATTACCGTGGAGGTTATCTCTCAAAAACGTCATTTTGCCTATACAAAATAACGCACCTTGTCTTACGATCCTTCATATATCATTCCATAAAAATGTAGTTTCGACGTTTAGGCGATACCCCGCACTTGTTTAAAGAACCGATACATTATTCGAGTTTTGCGCTTCTGCCTCGACTGTGCCAGCGTTTATTTGTTTTTATCTCGGTTTTTCTAGGTTTTCTAATAAATGCCTTTTAGATTTTACCTTTCTTAGTGATGGGAAAACGCAATCATAGAGACTGGAGAAGGATTTGGAACGCGAAAAGGGGTTGAGGGTTACCGTTCTCGATCTCGTTCTTCCCGTCGATCAAGGTCTTTTTCGTCAATTCGAAAGCCGAAGTCGCAGCACTTCGGTATAGTCATAGGGAACGTCGTAGTCAGCGCGACAGGTACTGCCCGGGTTTTGCGGAACTCGACAGAAGCCGGAGATGTCCTTGAGATTAATTTGCCGGACGACATTTTAGATATTTTGGGCAGAGACCCTAAAATTAAACCCTGCTTTGGCTTCCAGATGGTTGCATATAATAAGGAATGACCTTAACAAGGGAGAAAAAGAGAACGTTTTACCAAAACATATTATCCCAGACAATTTTTGCCCTCCAGTCATTAAACCTAGCACTTCAAAGGAGGGGGGGGGGCTGATATGGACAGCTCCTATTTTAGACGATCTTTAAACAGGAAGCGCCTGGTTTACAACCAATCGAGTGATTTAAAACCGCAGAAGGACCTATCCTCGAGATGGCAGGAGAGCCAGAAACCTTACAGGAGACCTTAATGGTGGGTAAAACTGCGGGCAGGCAGGCTAATCCTTTGGTTTTATCCTGGATGAAGGGATACACAAAGCACATTTCATGTGTTAACTATTTGGACGATTTTTTAATTTTAGGTCATTCCTACGATTGTTGTTTGGAAAACACCAAATTTGTAACCGCAATCATCTGGAGCAGCTGGGCTTTTTAATTAATTATGATAAACGTTTTCTTCCGCCGGGCACAAAAAAGAAGTTTTTAGGATTCATTTATGACTCCATTGCCTTATCGATAAATTTCCCATACGAGAAATAGAATGGCACTGCTTTTTCAGAAGAAAAAGACCTGCCTGATTCGAGATCAATTAATTAATTAATCGATTAATTGGTACTCTGATTATAATAATAATAATTTTTTTATTCACAGATAAGTTACCTTATGTAGAAACATTTTTGGTAGTCGCGAGACTGTCAGGGAAGCGTTTAGGAGGAAGGGAGCACTCTCGGAGTCCTTAAAATTTAAAAATTCCAACAGTTCTGGTTTTGACAATGTTTCATCCAATACAATAAGGGCGTGTGTCACATTATAAACTTTTCTTTCATAATAGGCGATTTTCCAGAACTGTCAAAAACTTCGAAAGTAATTTGTTTATACAAAAAGGGCGATCAGGCGAAGATTGAGAATTACAGACCAATATCTCTATTGGCTACATTTTCTAAGATTATTGAAAAACTAGTCGCCTTTCGGATAATGAAGTTTCTTCAACGGATTATCATCCGCAACAACCAACATGGTTTCACTGAACATAGATCTACGCAAACTGCGCTATTCAGTTTAATCAGTAACACTGAAACATTTAGATAACAGTATAATAAGGAGATGATGATTTTGTATCTTTTTTCTGAAAGTCTGAGACATTGCTCTGTTATATATAAACGTGTTTCAGGATAAATTGAATCAAATGACAGCAACTTGTTGGTGCATTCTTTGCCATTTTTGAGCAATGGGTCATTTTTTGCTAATTTTTACGGTAATTTTTTTTGGAGTTTTTGTGTGTTTTACTTTTTTTGCATTTTTCAGGAATAGCGCTAGTTTGTTTGATATTTTACGGTACTTCTCTTGGCGAACTTATAAACCTTTGTTAACGTTTTATTTTCATGCAGTCTTAGATTTCTAAAACACAATGCAATATTTTTCTTTTCTCGGTAGTTCCGGGTATCTTTACCTGTTTAGAAATGAAGCCTAAAACCTCCATTATAAGCTAAATGCATAGTTAAGGTTTTCTTGGAACGTGCTTAAAGTCATCCACAAACAAATGCCTACTAAGGGATTAGATTTCTTTGGGATGCTGTAAGTGAGTCAGTACCTTACATACGTAGTTTGTACGACTGGCCTGCAGAGGGTGGAAATGAACCACCAATGAAATTCCTGTCTCATCTCACATAATTGCTTTTTATCATAATTTTGCGGTCTTATTCAGTTTTATCAATAAATTTATTTGTTATTTAAAATTGTGTCATTTTTGCGAGATTTTTAAGTCATAATTGCATTTTTTATTATGCATTTTCGTTGATTTTTTACTTCATTAAAATCCTAGCCCTAATAATAAGGTTATGGCGGTATTTGTTGATTTGGCAAAGGCGTTTAATTGACTGTGTAAACTATGAAATATTGTTATCGAAGCTCGAAACCTATGATTTGCGAGGAGTATGTCATAAATTCTTAACGAATTATATGCTGAATAGGAAACAGTTTGTAAGTTATCATGGAGTGTGCTCGGCAAAAGAAATAATTGAACACGGTGCTCCTCAAGGTAGCGTTCTTGGACCGTTACTTTTTTTTACTGTATATCAATGACCTGGACAAGGTTGTATCGATTTTCCACAGCGTGTATGCAGATGACATCGCACTTATATCGGGATACAACAGCATATCAGCGATGGCCAATTAAATCAACACAAATTTAACCAAATTGTATGAATTCTTCAACAAAAACGGACTGGCAATGACTACCGACAAGACCCTCACTATGTATACAATTTCACCTTGTTGAAAAAAATTACACCAATAGTCTACTGATACAACTAAAACACAAATCAACCAAGCAAGTCAATGAATTTAAATTACTTGGACTTTATGTTGATTTTTCTCTTACTTAGAAAACCCATGTTAATCACATTACCCGGAAATTGGCTAAATGTAGTTATGCACTGAAACGTTTTCTCAGAATATAAGAAAAACATACTGCTTCTGATGTTTTGAATATATTTTAAGATATGGTGTTGTTTTCTGGGGAAATTCTGTGTCAGCTACAATTTGGAATATTAGAGAGCTCCAAGTGCGTGCAAAATGGAGAACGGCACAGGCCAATATCAAAACAGCGACTATCGTCGTGTTAATTAAAAAAAAATAATACACCTCCTGCGAACTGGAAAACTGGACGAGTTAACCGAAGTTTATCCCGGTGATGATAACATCATCAGAGTCGCGACTATTAAAACAAAATCTGGACTATACAAGCGGACAGTGCGTAATTTGTGTCCACTGCTTAATGAACAAGAATAGTTAAACGAATCCTTTAATGCGGCCGGTTATGTTGGCGTACTTAGCTACATACTCAAGTAATATTGTTTTATAGTAACTACAGCAATAGTAAATGTTTCTAATTTGAATATTATCAAATATAATAATAGACAAAGTAATTTTGAAATTTTTCTCGTTTTTAATTGCACCAAACAACAGTATTAACCACGGTATTGCGCACGATACATATTGCTCATATTGTAAAAAAATCATTATTATACATATCTATTATTTATAATATTTTTTAAGGTCATTATCTGAATCTTCAAGAGCATTTCATGCCCTGTGTTAGATTTAAGGGCCTCTAAAGCTTTTAAGGGTCGCTATCATTTTATAAGGATTTCCATTCTAGAATCAAAAGTCATGGCATTGTTGGTTCGTGCAACAAGGGAAACGAAGACAAGTTAGAGTCGAAAAACGAGAGTATGAGGAACTTCAAAAGCAATTTCAAGAGGGTTTCATAGTCTTTATTTGGCTTTTAAAAACCAGAACAGTTGGAGGGAAACTTCAGAACTAAACGCGTGGTAAAAAGTGAGCAAACAACAGGGGGAATGAATATAGAACGTATAGGTGGGTTATGACGGGTAGCAGCGTGACTGTTACCTACTGGATTAGACAATAATTTTTTTTTGGTTTTGTCAAAATACTTTTACTATTACCGTTTGTCCCCCTAACAAGGCCCAATTAGTCTTAAAATAATTAACTATATTAACAGCACTAAAAAAACATGTCTCGGTGCTGCAATTTGCAATTATGCATTAAAGATAATATTCACATGAGAGCAAAATAAAATACTTTACCGGTTTTTGTCTTTACCTGAGTTTGATGCACTTCCTTCCAAAAAGTCACATAGCAAAACATTAACTCACATAAAAATACTAAATTTTAGATCATCATTAAGATTAAGTGAAGACAAAACACTTGAAGACGCAAGCGGGTATCAATAATTTATATATAATCTAGGTACATATATGAAGCATGAATCAGTTGATTACAATGTTATAGATGGGTGGAGTACATTTATTACCAGAAAGTGTAAAATATTATTAAAATGAAATTATAAATCTCAATGCTACCCAGTATGTCAATTATACAACACATGTTAAGTATTGTTTGTTTTTTGGAGTACTTTGAAAAACTAGTTTTATCGTTAATTACCTTGCTGCTGTCATAATCGTTCAATTTAATACAATTATCACCTTGCCTTTTAATTACCATTTATCTGTATCTCATTTAAAGGTGTACTTCCCATGAATTAATATTAGCCGAAAATTTAGTATGCAAATCAGCAACTATACACAATGATAATGTTAACTTCTTAAATGCGAGGCGCTAGTTATTATTCACATTCTCGATGAAGCTTGAAAATTTGAGAAACGAGGAAAGTTGCTCCCACAGATGGACAGACACAGGTCAGATTATAAACTGTTCCGTTTAATAAAATTGAGTTTGATTTCAATATTCACATAACTTGTCTATGGAAGATACATAATATGATGGTTTTTTGTACTATCAAAAAACCATTTATTGCTATTGACTGGGTCTTCGGATATTAGGTTGAGGATCTCAGAAATCGATCGCCCATATCATTTCAGTCGAAGAATTTATACGCGGATAATAAAAAAAGTACCTTATTGGTTAATTAAAAATAATTGCAATTTTCATTGTGGTTTTTAAAGTAGACTTATTAATTTAAATAGTAATATATTCTCAATGGAAAATAACTTCTTTGCAAAGTTAACACAAGGTGATGTCACGTTTAGTTGTTTAGTGGGAGAGGTCCAGACATCGATCTTCTCCAAGTACGCTGCACATAATTAATAATAACGAGGTATTATATTTAATTACTACTTACCTCTCTTTTGTTTAATGGCTAAATTGTTATTTTTGTTCATCGAATTTCCAGGAATACACTAATGCGCTTGTAGTGATTCAATTATCTGTTCAAGTTCCCCAACTTATAACCGCCAGTAAACCGATGCGATCTTGGTACAGGGAGTAGACCCAGTTTTGCCAACATTCATAAAGTCGTTTTCCAGGTTCATCGATGACCAGTCGTTGATCTAGGAGGTAGGTCCTTAAACATCAGGTTCTCGTCCACAGCTTTGGACCGGAATCCCGGTGATTGTAATTTCTGTAATTCTACAGGTAAAATTCAACCAGAAATCGTCTTTTCCCACTCGATTTGGAGAAATTCGCTTTGTGCTTGATTTTACAGGCTTGTTATGCAATGTGTTTTCCTCCTTTGTAGATATTTGATTAAATTTTTTTAGATCGTATGGGTTAAAATCTGTTTTTTGTCCTCGTCCCTTGTTGTATTGATCCAGTCTTAACAATTTTAGGTTTTCTGGGGTTTTATACGCTGAACGCTATTAGAAAATGCCTATTCCACGTCACTGTAGAAGAGGTAGATTTGATTGCAGACGCAAAGACTGTGATTTCTATAGGAAAAATCTGGTACCAAAGGTAAGGACAAAACACAACACTCAGTTTTCCGCCACAGTTTTTATTTTTTATTTTAATTTTAGTAAGTTTATCCAAAGCAAGTTGTCTTCCGCTTTTTTGCTGCAACAGGAACCATCGAACAGGATAGATAGCTTCTTCGCAAGCACCCTCGATCACGATCAGTGCAGAATTCGAGGATAACCTCGATAACAGACTGCCCAGCAAACACACTTTACGTTTAAAGTCGGTTTTAAAGCGTTTTGAAAGGATAAATTCGGTATTGGTAGTATGGTATACGTTTTTGTGTAGACCGATTTTATACCTACGTTTAAAATACGATTTTTATTCATATATATAAATCATAGAGTTCACTTTCTACGTTAATAGTACGTATATAAATAACCGTTTCTTAGCAATCGTTTTATAAACGTATATAACACCACTTTAATATACGCATATACGCATATAATCGTATATCAATGGGAAATAATAAACGCATAATATTCATACAAGAATACAGCCGGACATTTATGCGTATTACCATAAACGCTTTTTACACGGAAGTGTGTTGCTAGGGTGGTACTGAGAGAGGAGGGCTGCCCGACCTGTGCTGGCTAGCAAGTTGTCCTCCCGGTAGGCGTCGACGTCTTAGGGGATGTTTGGTCAATTTTGTGTACATGGGGGAAACAATGTTTTAATACACATGCACAATTAATATTTTTTGGTTTCCGCGCCGTTAATTGTTTATAGGCCGTTTTAGTTCCCCATAATAAGTAAAAGCAAGGATAGAACAAGTCCCGAAGAGAGTTGTTTTGTCCGTTATCAGTTGGCGGCGTGCCTGCAAAAATTACATAAACGCCAACGGGCTCTGTATCCGAAAACTAACAATTAACATAAAGTTAATTAATGTAAAGAGTTCATGAGCTTTCATTTAGCCTTTTGAGTATGTATAATTAGCTTGCACTAATTAAATGAGTTACAGTAAAAGAGCGCCGATTGAGAAGAGTTTGGTATCAAATTGTTCGCGCTTAATTAACAAATCGATTGCCAGATGTTCCGGAATTACAGCCCCGATCGCATATGATACGTTGTAGTGGTAGTCATACGGTGCCTATATTATTTTGCTTGACAATACAGAAAAAGTGCATCTACTTTTAAAAAATTTGCTCCATGAAAATTAAGCTCTTTAATTCTGGGGGGGGGGGCATGGTAGTAGTTTTCTACTAGAGAAGTAACTGTATGAAAAACTTCTCCTTTCTATATTTTTCTTCTATACAGTACAAAAGATTCACAGAATGTCTACGACTAGTGTGGTCGACTTATATGCGTTATATGAGTGTTGGTGTATCAAAATTGTAGGTAGTATCACAGTAAGGCTGGCCGGGCAAGTACTTCTGCATCCTCTCAATTTTCGTATCTTTTTTTATAAGCAATGGACTTAAGAGCTCAGGATCCACGACGTCACCGTCACGCTTTGTAACCCAGCTTACTAATAAACCAATCGCAATTACCAATACTAAACTTATTACGGAAATGTACCACACCGATAGACGAAACAGGATGAATGGGGGCTGCAATAAGTGACCACTAAAAATATGACGGTCAAATTACAAGAACTCGCCAATCTTACAGACCTTGTTGCTGTCACATTGATTGGAATAGAACAGTTGTCTATCGAAACCGGCTTGGCAAAGCTCTCAATTCCTCCTTGTAAGGTGTACCATTGATTACCAATGGTGATGCTGCCAACGGTAAGAAACGAAACAGCCATCGCCCAAAATGCCCCCTGAAGTACAACTGTGAGTAAAGTTTAGTAACCTAAAGCACTCACCTTTGCGTTCGCCAATGGGAAAACCATACCGAGCGAGAACACCCCCACGAATATTCCGGAAACTAACCCTAGTAGCGACATGAAGAAAGGAAGTATACCGCTCATGCGTTCGATGAAAAGAATTAGAGTCGTGCATATAAGACCTGTTAGAATGACTATCAATTTTAATACGCAGCCTTCTTTGGATCTCAGAGAGGTGCTGGGGAAGAATGGCGAGATGAAGTCGCTGTATATTGTCGCCGCCAGCGTGTTTAGTGTTGCAGATAGTGTGCTAGTAGATTAGTTTGGATTATTACAGTTCCGTTGGCAACATTTTTTTTAAGAGTTGCCTTGAAATCTGTTATGAGTGCATAGTTTCCATTCATGAAATTTTGAAGTATGAGGAAGCCGAAAGTGCCAACCAAGGTTTCACCTACGTCTTTTTAATGTTGGTAATAAATTGTACCAATTGCACCGTTAGGTATTCCTCTTTGTTGTCGTTGACAGTGTATTTTCCTGTACAAGTTCATCAAAATTGCAGATTTTGTATATAAGTACCGAAAACTCTGAAATGTTGAGAAGTCGTGAAGAAACATTTAATTTAGTACTCAGTCCCTTCTTGGATGCAATGGGACTACTAATGTAGGTGGAAGATTACGTGTGCGGACAATTCGCACCCGGATAATTCGCACCCGGACATTTCGCTCCCAGGATACTTCGCACCCTGGACATTTCGCTCCCGGAAAATTCGCACCCGGACCATTCGCACTCGAAAAATCGCTCCCGAATAATTCACACCCGGATAATTCTGTAAATCTTTGGTTTATTAAAACTACTAGACCATTGCCTTTACAGAATGTATGTAGTAGTGCACATCTTGGTAAACATCTACTTCATCGAAAAATGTTTCAAATAATAGTTATTTGGTCTTTCATTTTCAACACATCGCGATTCTTTAAGTATTTCCATTTCTTAAATATAATCACGCTGGTTTTTTTTTGAAGTTGTATGAAGAGTCTGATATAGTTAAATCCTGTAATTTAAGAACACATAATTTTTATCTACTGCGCTTTCGTTTTGAGAAAATAAGAATAGGTAACTGAAACGTCTTTTGTGGAGTAATTAAATACCAAATAGTTATACCTAGTTATAGTATATCTACAGTATTATGTGTAATATTCGCTACTTTTGAGACGCTCTTAATATTAAAACAGAATCAACATATAATACCGTACACAAACAAAGTGATAAGTCTAAAGTTAAAAATATTTACATTATAAGATCATGATGAAAATAGAAAAAGGAAGTAATTTTAACGCTCCCTTACATAAAGATTTCTTAATGAAGACACATAAAAAATTGTTCTTTATTTCTTTAGTTGAAAAGAGTGACAAAAGAAATGAATTTTTGACAAAACGAGTATGTATAAATGACAATAGAACAATGCATTTCATAGATGGCACTAAATTTGGATAAGTAATTAAGATAATATTACAATTAAAGGTAAATTTGAAAAGACCCCGATAACACAAATTGCACTTCATAAAGAAACAATAAGAGAAATATCGTAATGACATCCTTTCTATTATTTCTGGAAGATGAATAGGGTTTATTAAGAGGTAAAGGTAATTAGGTCCGAAAAATCAGGTTTAAGTACGTATGACCACAACTAATTAGAACTTTAACACCTGTATAGTATCTTCATTCGTGAACGTTTGACAGAGTGGTATTTTAAAATTTATCTGAGCACGGGTTCTGATTTTGTGTATACTTTTTTTTTAATTTTAAAAAACTTTATTTCTGGTGGTAGTGTTGTGGTGGTGTTCAGAAAAGGTAAGTTTCCCGTTTTCTTAGAACCAGTTTTACGTTTCTTTGACCACATATGGCTATATGTTGATTATTGGTGACTGAGGAAAATTACACTAACTGCTTATTTTTTTGCGTTACCTTTGCTACAACTATGGTACGTAGTGAATGAACTTAAAAGTTTCTTTTTGATTTTCTTACTGTTATTTATTTTATAGTTTGAAGAGATACATGGAAAAATTCTGGCATTTTTTTAAGAGATTGTTAATAATCAAAACAGTAAGGGTTTTGAAAATCTTGAAACGTTTTTGGAACAGGTCGATATTGATGATTTTTTCTTTTAAATGTTTGTAATTGTTAAGTACCTATATACTTCCTTTTTAATTTTTGTATGGCATACCTAGTACTAAAGCAAAACCCTTAGCATTGGTAATTGCGCAACAAGGAAGATAGGACATCATTGGAAAGGCTTTCCTTCTCTGAATTTGGTGAGACTATAATTTTTTAGATTTGATATTTTCGAAATTTTTTAAAAGTTGAGGGCGCGCTGTTGTTTATGTCATTGGAAGGATGTCGGGCCGATCACTATGTAATAGAAGCTAATGCGATCGTGCGTCAAAATTATGCAGTTGCAAGTGGTATAAAAAAGAGAAAACTTGTACCTGCAACGTCGAATGCGCTGGAAATGAAACAACTAAACCAAAAAAATTACATATCCGAATTCAGAGATGGGCGACCTTACCAACGATGCATCATTTAAGATTTTAAGGGTTGCACTGTCAGCGATGCGAGACAAAGACATTAGTGAGCAAGTTTTATTTTAGACACTGTTTCCTTCCATGATCAATTTGACGTGCCAAAGTGTTTTTTGAAAATTATTTTAATTTACAGAAATAGCTATGTATGGTTTCTAATGCACCACTGTATATTATTTAGCTTCGGAGAAATAACACCAAAATCTCCCCATAAAAATTGTTATAATAATAAATGGGTAGATTTTGGTGTTATTTCTCCGAAGCTTCTTAAGCACCCCATTGAGAGTCATGGATCTTCACAATTTCAGTATATTATTTAAATAATAGCCATATAATTTATAGCAAGATCAATTTTTTTCACGATATTTATCAACATTTTTTGCTTTTTTCGTTACTTTACAGTTCTTATCTCTTTAATTTTACGGAAACTCTCAAGAATCTATTTGTTTTAAGTTCAAATATGATTATAATTTACTTGAGATTCTTTTAAGACAATACATACGTATTTCGTTATGTGTCCTTTAAATGGACGACATCGAAGGTTAGAGAACTAGGAAACTTAACTTGCAGCTATTAACAAATAATAATTGTTAAAATTTTATTTAGACTTTTATATTCCTATTGCAATATTATTTGTACGTGCTAAAAGGTTTCCAAATGAAAAAAACCTTGATTGTGAATTGGTACAATAAAACTGGGTAAATAGGTTTAAGAAATGTCAGGTGACAGTTTTGCTGATAGACCGATACCAGCGTTTAGCAGCATCCGTCTACTTGTGAACATGAGTGCATGGACAATTTACATCACGGATGAGTGTCTTTTTACCTTTTATTTTGTTTTTTTTTAAATAAATTTTCATTCATGGTACCTTTAGCAAGTGTTCTCATGTTTAATACGGAGATTACAATAAAATAAGTACTAAATTCCAGATTTTGAGTGATATGGATGCTATTAAAGTGACCTAATATCTCTACTGCTTTGATATGGTCCATTCCATTTAAAAAGGTACATAGGATTGTACGTATGAATTCTTGCCTCATAAATACTATTAAAAAAATTATTCCTCTACAAATTGTATGGCTATTGTTTAACCAACATAAATATTTAAGTGCCACATTAAAATGCCAAAATCAAGGAAAATATCATCAAAAATGGACTTGTCCCTGAGGCTAAAAGTTGAAATTTGATTTGTTACAAAAAGTTGATAATGGATATGAGATTTAGGCGGTGCAAACTATACGGGGCGCGTAACAATGGAGTTCGGTACAACGAAAAGGGGAAAGAGATACATAATCTATGAAGGATACATGTACCTCTTTGCTAAGAACCTTAAACTCCAAAACTGCTCATCATGGCTGTGTCGAGCGAGAAGAGCAAAGAAGGATCCATCGGCTCTTAGTTTAACATGCAATGCCAGGATCTGGGTCAACGATGACAAGTTTCAAAGCCCTTAATTGGGTATTTTATTAGTTAGGATATCGTCTTTTGAACTTTTGATTTTTTATACGTAAGTTTCATCGTTGCTTATACCTTCGTCGTCGTTATATGGGAACGGTTTAGAGAACTTTTATTCAATATTAATAAATGATCCCATTTAGGGTTTGAACACAAAATGGACGTCACGATTCCAAATTATACCTTAATATTGAAAGTATCCAAATTTTAAATGTAGGTATACGTCTATTACATGCACCAAGTACATAATAAAACGTGATATTGGTGAGTCATATTGGAGATTTCAAGCTCTGAGTTAATTTAATACTTCACAGCCGACTTTCTATGTTAAAAGTCAACCATACACAAAATACCCTCTCAGGGGAGCGAAATTCTGGTGCGAATTATTCCGTTGCGAATTATCCGGGTGCGAATTTTCCGGGAGCGAAACGTCCGGGTGAGAAATATCTTTGGTGCCAATTTTCCTTGGTGCGAAATGTCCGGGTGCGAATTGTCCTACAACGGGAAGATTAACGTGCAACCTCCATGTCTACACAAGAAAAACAACCCCTAATAATTACTCCAAAAATGAATGTGGCCACACTAATCGTAAAAGATGCCCATACCAGATCCCTGCATGTAGATGAAGGACTACCTATAATTTACGGAAAATTGTCTTGTCTTCTTCTCAAGATTCTCAAGTGTTCTGCACATGCGCTGTATTACTTATATGTGCGAGTGCCGAGTATTTGGTTTTATTGAAGGGACCTGGCGTAAAAGTTTTAAAAACCAAAATAAATAAACAACGAGCAACAAACACAGACGAGTTATCATGTACACAGACGGACGGACGGACAGAAAGTCCAAAAGCATGGACGAATTGGGACGCTTGTTAATAAGTATCAGGCCCTGCTTATGAACAGTACGAGTCTAGTCAATAGGTTTCATCCCCGAGTAGGGTGGGACACTTGATCTTCTATTGTGAACTGGCAAGAATTAGCACTCCTTCAGTTTTAAAATTGCAATTTGGAAAAAAGCATAAAACAACATGTCCATACCATATCTTTTTGACGAAAACCTCATTTTTACAGTGGCTACAGACCGTTTTATTGCTATTATAAGAGTAAAGTCCATTAGGCATTTGTTGTTAATTGTTTTGTCTTAATTGGGTTGTTTGATTACGAGAGCTTTAAAAATGCCCACACCTATTGGATTTAAGTTCGGCGTTTCATCTTGCAGTTAAATTGACGGTCATTTAATTTCCATGGAAATGCAGTCACATGCCAAACACAGAATAAGACCTTCACAGAACAGAAACATAAATGGCGCTAAATTGTCACTGATTACAGCGTTTCCCGTGGTTGTACGGAGAACTATTTATCGCAGACTCGAATATTTTTTTGCAAAACCTGTAATTTTGCTCGTTACAGGAAATATTTTTACCGTCGATTTTATACGTACACAAGGTTTTACGCATGTCAATTTTGACTTTTGAAAGATTTAAAATATGAACAAGTTATGTGACCGTAGAAAGTGTTGTGTGGCGGATTGTAACGATAAAATATCAAAAAGGCATCGTTTCCCATATTTTGAAACAGATTGTTTTGTGCTTGAAACGCGAAGAGGGTTGAAATGTGCTGTTATTTCTCTCCTATTTATGCAAGGTATGGAATTTCTAAATTACCAACGGTAACGGTATAGGCGCAAAAAGGTGTAGACTTGAGTTTTATATTTATATAGACGTAGATACTTATATTGTAATTCGTTTTAGATAATTAAACAATTTCCACCCTCGCTTCTTAAGTAACAAGTAAGCACCAGGATCAAGTTAACATTTGTTGTCAAAAACTTGTGTGACAATTTGCTGAAGCGATTTTATTACCTCTTGGAACAACAAATTTAGTTCTCAAGATATTTTTTAACAAAAATATTTAGTCCAATAAACAGCAATTAAAACCAAATACTTCGTACGATAAATCGGTATGTAAGGATCTTTCTGCAAAGTGTTAACATCTACAAAGCGTAAGTTCCACTCACTTCTGAGTTTTATATGTAATTTGTAAACATGTGTTAAATAATGTAATGTGATTGTATCTAAATACACTTTAATTTAACAACTGTGTATTCTTTATCGATATTTATGATTTAGATCGAATTGAGGAAATGACTTCATGGCTTTAGAAGCTGGTCACCAGATGGCGCTACTCTGATTTTGATGCTTTAGTTCACAGCACACCCACCAGGGCCCGACAAAATACCATACAAATTTGTAACATTGCTGTTTCTATTCTGAGAAGGCCGTATTCTGTGATGCCAAATTAACTAAATATAGACTGGAGGTTATTTTGTTTGGGGAATCTGAGTCCAAATCGGATGATAGTGTTTTGATGATAAGATTTTTCAAGGCAATCCCTTATGAAAAAAAAGAGTGAACGTAAAATTCCTACCTCAGTCCCGAACACATTATTCCAGCGGTAAATATTCCTGCCAATCCAGGGACGTTTTCGTCGTGTTGCGTCACAAAGAAAGACACGATTTGATCAGCGCGTGTAATCTGGCCAGAAGTCAGAGGATCGCAGTTGGAATATTTGGCGTAAAGGGCGATTCCCATTAGAATCCCTATTAAATGGAAGGCAATCGCACCGGTTCCTAACATAAGTGCCGCCCTGTAAGACTAGATCAAATTGGGTAATCTCCGAACTACCCACCTTTTTGAGTTCGAAATAGAGGAAAGAGAAATGTATTTTTGAACAACTCCCGCCTGAAAGGTAATATTGTAAATCCAGATCACTATGTTCCCCGTTAGTATCTGCCAAAATCCATCCTTTTTTGTCATATCAGCACTGAAACTAGTGGAGGTGTTTACAATACGGCCGGAGCCATGAGAATCAAATACTTAAAGTCGAGGCGATGGCCCTCCAATGCTTTCTCGTAGATTCTGTTAATTCCACCCGCTGATATTACACTTAGGATGAAAACCATGAATACGGCGACCACCATTCCAGCAAGCTGCACCACGTCCGTCCAGATCACCGTTTTGAAACCACCGACTGTTGTATACAGTATACAGGTGACACATACAATTATTTCAATTACGTGCGAATTAATGCCACTGGCTAAATGAAACGGGTGATAACTAACCGTTGCAATTTTAAGGTACCGACCTTGCGAGAACGAAATGGCTGACAGATGTATCACAATTGCGTTATAAAACATCACTTGCAATGTGTAAATACCGGATGTAATTATTTTAATCCGTCTACCAAATCGAAGTTCGACATATTGAAAAATACTGGGTGTTTTTAGTTTGGCAATTACTGGCAAGTACACGTAACAAGTGATGGCACAGGCTATCGCAACCGCCAGGCACATCCACAGCGCGTTCGCACCAAAGGTGTAGATCTCTGAGGGATACGCCAGGAGTGTCACACCGCTAATTTGACTAAAAATTGACAATGTGCCAAATTACCATTCCCAAAACCGCCTTACCTAGCTATCATCGATAGACCAATTGGAACTAGTTTCATCGATCGATTGCCTAAAAGGTAGTCGTCGGCGCTTTGCCTTTTTTTGCATAATCCAAAGTATAAACCGATACACAGACTGACGATTATCGAGGCGGAGAAGATGAAATAGTCCAATGGGGTGAACATCACGAACGTTGGGTGGATAATGCGCAAGTTACCATCGCTAATCACAGGACAAAGTTAATAAAATTATGCATTGCCAAGAATTAAAAATTCCGCTATTATTCAGCCTCACATCTTGATTAAATATTTATGCAAGTCGTTAATTATCGTTGTGTCATTATTGTAGTGTTGTTGAACCGGGGGATTAGTCCTCGTGTACTGTTTTGAAATAATTTGAAGGCGGCATCATAATATGAACAAACAAATCACATAATTAAGAAATTTTATGGTGAATATATGCAGAGAAGTAACTTTTGTTTATAAGTATCTATAGTTAACAAGCAAGCCAAAGATCCCCAAAGATTTGAACGATATTATGAGTTTGAGGAATTTAAAGAACCAGAGAAAAAAAACCGGAAGAATTAAGCAATTTTGAAGAATATGAAGAATTTTAAAAAGTCCAAAAATCCGAGGAATTCGCACACTACGCAAATGAATCAAAATAGTTTTTAGAATATGAAAATTGAGATGGATTAAAAAAAGGGAAGAAACTGTGGTATTCTGGATTACGATAGAGGGATGGAAAAGGTCCACGCGTACTTAGGTCTCGTATTCGGGCCTTTCCCAGCCATTCCACGCGTGAGATGAACCTAAGGATGCCGGAAGAGGAGACGGCTCTAATGGTAGTGCAGTCTCCTCTTCAGTTTACAGAGCTCAGAAAGTTCTCCCACAAGTAATCTTAGGTTCTTTCTTGATGGCCCTGTGCAAAAACGCGCCGAGATTGTCCTCTGAAGGCTTCTCTCGTATGGCGTCAATCGAGTTTCACTTTGCCTTGTGCTGGGTTTAGGATACTAAGTACAATTGCCACTGTAACTGGAAGAGCCGGCTCTGGACCACAAAAAATACCGGCTTTAAGGCTTTCTCATTAACTTTCGCTCTAGCATGCCATTTAACCCATACGTCCTCAAAGGTTTTGCTGCTTGCTACTTGCTCTAGTGCATGGTGACATTCGGAAACAAGCCTAGAGTGGCCAGGTAACTGCAGGACAGCTCTACTGTCACTAAAGATTCTGATAGTTTTGTCTTTTATGCATAAGAACTTTTCTTACACTGAACGTTAGTCCTACCAATTCTGATTGGAATACGGTAGGAAGCTTGTCTAGTTGTTGAGTGGTATCGAATTGGAGTAGATACCAGTGCATGTTCCTTACATTGTCTTAGGTCCATCCCTGCAGATGAATATGTACGATTTGGATGCCACTTCCGCATCAAAAAAATGTGATAGTTTTTAGAATTGAGAGGGAGTGAATCCGATCGCCCTTCCAGGATAGGCAATTTCTTAGTCGGCTCGCTCAGAACTCGAAACTGGCTCATCTCAAAACTTCTGCTATTCAACAGTTTATACCAGAATGGCTTATTCTCTCACGTGAAGATCTAGTAGATCCGACAATTCAACTTGGAATCCAGACTGGTATCCTTGCACAAGCGCCAAGAATCCCCAAAAACAAAGCTCCTAGACTGAACGGAATTCACGGAAAGGGACTAAGAACGTTAATGAAGAGTGAAAACCCTTTCTGACTTATTCAATTCCTGTTAAGGCTGGGCTATTTTCCTGTCAGTTGGAAAACTGGCAAACTTAAAGCTATTTTGAAACATGGTAAGATGGGCCAGACCAATCCCAACACGTACAGGCCGGCAACTTTATTACCCGAAATTGGAAAGCTATTGGAAAGAATTCTTCTCCAAAGACTGTATGAAGGAATCCCACCTAAACGACTTTTCCACCCCAACCAGTATGGCTTGATCACCGGACGAAGGTCGACCGACTGTGTGCAAAAACTAGTAAACAACGTCAGGAGGAATGCTCATAGGTATTTGTTGCCGATATTCGTCGACATTACCGGAAAATGAAACAACGTATGGTGGACGGACTTAGCGGGCAGCAACAAACTCTCCGTCTCAATAGACAAGATACCTCGACTGTCTCTGAAAGGTTGTCCATGTAAGAACTACCCTCTCATCTGAGATTAGCTAATATGAACTTTCTGTTAGAATTTTATTTAGGAGGGATGCAAAGGAGGCGGATTCTATAGAGTTGCAAAAACTACCACGGCTTTGCTAGAATCAGACTCCAGCAGCGTCTTGATATCCGCAAACTCGACCCAGTTCGTAATCCGGCCGGGTGAGTTGCTGACATTTGAGCCTTTTCAGCAATGGATGGTGATGCTTCCGTTGATACAGTTGCTCCTGTAGCAGTTGCTGGTGTTGTTGTGGTGGTTTAACTGACATACTCCCCACCTCTGGTTCGCGTGATTAGGTGAGCCTGGTCCTTCAATGCCGAAAACTATCAGCCTCAGGTTGATCTTTTTTCGGGTAGAAGACACCAGCTGCCTACCTTTGCCTAGGAGTTCTGCGCTTCCGGGCACCGCCTGACTACCCCCGGGTCGTCACTACCTTTAGGTGTGCAGCCTCCAACGTCCTTCAACCACTTAACGGAATGGTTATTCTCGCACGATATTCTTAGAATCTCGCCCGAGTGTCTCCAACCCCTGAACGTGGTAGAACATTTTAGGGCTGGTCACGAACCTTGGCCAGTTTTTGGACTATGTTCGCTTGGTTAGCCGCTAGCCTACACAAAGGGCTGTTGGTATCTAGGATCACTACATTGAGTTGCCTCTCGGCAGCTTGCTTGTAGCTACGATTGCAGGGTGGTTCTTCCTTACTGACATCCACCTTTGGTTGTGACTGTGGTTTGCTCTTCTTTGTCTGCGGTTGGGTCGGAGTGATTGGACCTCTGCTTCTTTTTCTACCGGTTTGCCTGCCTGACCCGGATGCGGGTTGGATCACGAGAGGTTTGGAGGTCGATGTTGAGTCCTTATCTTCTGTTCAGCGGCGGAGAGCGGTTTTGTGGTTTGGTGTGTTGAGTTTCGGTGACCAGCAACAGATTTCAGATTCAGTATCCTGAGGCGCTCCCTCTGGATTATTGGGTTAAGTTTTTCAGTATCCATGTCGGACGCGTCACATTTCGTCTTCCCCGTTCCCAACTCACCACGGAGCCCAACGAGGGGACGTCTATCCAGACGCCAGGATAACATAATTTCTAGACGATAGCAGAAAAAAAGCCTGGTGTCATGAAAAATCAACCTTTTAGGGCTTACTCCCATTTTTTATCGATAAGACCATCATCTTAAAATAGTTTACGGTACATATAGTACATATGTACAGATTATCCATAGATAAGAGCCAAACAAGGTCATACTTAAACAAGTATAAATTGGGCACATCTCTTGTGCCGATAAAACACATTTTTTTAAACCGAAATAGCTTTTGTTTTGACATCACCAATGGATATATTTCTTGCAGACGTCTCTATCGCCCTTTGTGAGTACCCTCTTCCGACAATCCGTTCTTGAAGTATAAGGGAATATACACAATCACGATAAGAGGTCGAGGAGGAAGTCTGCGGTTGGTACAAATTAATTCCTTTCGTTGTGACCTTTCATTAAAGTACTAGTTCTACTCCCCCTCCACCCCGTACTTTGATAAGAGGACAGAAAGAAGGGCAGTAGTTGGTAGAAAATGGTTCCTTTCGTTGAGACCTTTAATTTGAATACAGTGAGAGATAAAATTAATTTTTAACCCCCTCCTCCTCAGGCCCCGTCGCTCACGTATCTCGAAAAAGTTATAGTTTGTACAAACCAATTTATTTCGATGAGACCTTTTATTAGAATACCATAAAAGATAGAACATGTGTTTACCCTAGTGTTTGCCCCCTCCCCCCCCCCCCGCCCTATTTTCTAAAGTTTACCTTGGCACAACTAAAGGCACGCGTATGCAAAATCTAAGACCAATTGCTTGTCGTATGTAAAAATTATGCACGTTTTACTTTCAAAAACAGCATCTCAGGAAATAATTCGTGGGGGAGGCCCCCCTTTTTGACAGCGAAATTTGATGGCCGTATGGCACACCTTGAAGGTATAGGCTACCTACTGCAAAAAATTCCAAGACTCTATAGGACCATTCCCCTAAAAGTAGTTCGAAACGGCAGAATTGGGTCCGGACGGACGGACGGACAAAACGCAAACATTAGCACATTTTTTTTAATTCTTATAAAATTCGCTAAAAATACGCACAAACTATGCTGAAAACCTGTACCTATAGTGCAAATTTCCTGAGAATTTTAACTTCCGCAAAACTGTTATGGGAAGATTTTTGATCATTTCATCTTAGGGCTTGCTCTGAAGAACGGATTGATGTATAATATTTTCAAAATTGTATTTTTTCCGTCTCCTCCTACCCTTTCTTGCCTTCAAGCGTCTTTTCGCCTTCTGTAACCGGTGGCCGTTTTAGGATTAAAAAAGTAATTTTTCGAGATTCTGGTATGCCGGGGAATTCACACATGTACCGCTTCATAGCGAACCTGAACGAAAATATGTCTGAAGCTATACCAAGGAACGTATGGCGGCAAGCGAGCGCGGTTTCCACGATCTCTTCCGACCTAAATGTTTCGTTCCGTTGTGCGAAAAGTTGAGCACGTAACAAATGCGGGTTTCTTAGTAGTTTAAAAGGAGTACGCGAGTCGAGTTGTTTACATTCAGAGGTTCTAATGGGCAAGTGATTCTGATTTGAGTTCATGAGCCGAAACACACTATTTGGGTGCGTAAAAGTTAGATTCAAAGAGAAATTTTCTAGCGACGACGTACACTGTTTGTGCGTTGAAATTGAATTTTTAGCAAAGTTTTAAAGCAGGTACGTACCATTTTGTGTGCGAGAGATTTTATTCCACGTATGTGGGAAGATTCGTCGTGCGATTTCAAGAACTTCAACGTGCATTCTATTGAGTATCTGGATAGTAGTCAAAGTCAAAAAACTATTAAGTAGCGAGAACTCCTACCGTTCGGGTTCGAGACAAACTGCTAGAATAGTTACCCATAATTTTATATGTCTGCAGATATACGAATTGCAGTAGACTGTGAGGCGAAGAAACACTTTTTAGCCGCCCGATTCGTAGCAAGGTCGTAGAAATGTTAATTTTAATTTTTCCTGAAGGAATCGACCCAATATCCATGAACGTGTAAGGAAAATTGGAATTTGGTCACTTTTGCTTTACTTAATATATTCAATCAAGTAAGGTCACATGCGTATTTATTGGAGTTCAATCAAACCAGAGCATCAGATTGTCATATTAAGATTTTTGCCATTGCCGTAGAGGCCCCAACCCCTTGTAAATGTAACATAGCCTGTCACACTTCTCTTGTTCCCTACCACACTCTCTTGCCATATCGTGTTTCTTCTGCATTCCTGTACTATCATAGTCTAGATCCTACCCGTTTCTACCAAATGCTTCCCTATCCTACTTTACCCGTCATTTCCAGTCTTTTCTTACTACGTACGTTACTTCTCCTGCTCTCGCATATCTTCTACTGTCCGCCCTATTCGATATTTTCGTACCATGCGCAGCTCTCTGCCCTCCCCTGTCCTCTACTGTCGGCATCCTCCTGCCCGACAATTGTCCTGCACTGCCCTCACTCCTGTCCGCTTCTGGTCTCTCATATCTTCTTCTGCTCTTTCTACCTTATGCTATCATATCCCGTTTTCTACTGCCCTCTTTTGCTATCTCATGTCATCTTCTGCCAATTTACCTTCCCATCTCGTCTCGTTCTATGCGCTGCCATCTCCTGCAATATTCTGCCTTTTGATATAATGCTCTGCCCTCTATTCGGCCCTACCATATACTTTTTTAGGGGAAAAAATTCCCCTTTTGTGATAGTTTTGTCCGTCTGTTCCCCGTCTAACTCGAGACGGCGATGTCACACCTTCCCCTATCGATTTCTACGAGTTTAGGGTTCAGTGCTTGTTTATTTTTCCCCACGCTGTGTCTCTTTCCGGTACTTTTCTGGAATGCCCTGTCCTATTTTGTTCTCTCTCACACTTTGCTTTCCAGGCCTTACCTGTGCTCCTTTGCACTTTCCGAATTGCGCACCTTGAACCATTTAAACTATGTAACTGTATATAATAAAAGTCAATAAAGTGTAATGTGAAACTACATTAAATAAACAATGAGAGTTCATCTTGTTCCTCTTTAATTGTTTCCTCTAACTTGGGGAGGAGTCAACTAATTACAGAATTCCGGTTGATTTTGTGATCCACGACTATTTTATGCCATTTTTGTAAGTGTTTTCGTCACCGTGAACTGGGACATAGTCTTGTACAGAGTTTTGGACTTTACTAGTTTTTGTACGAGTAAAGCGTAAGATAGGACTGAACATACTGGAAGGGATGATGACTGGGTCAGGACTAGTAAACCAACTTATCAGAAGGCCGACCGCAATTACCATTAAAGAGCTCATGACTGAGTTGTACCAAAACGACAACCGAAACAACACGAATGGTTGTTCTGGTGTTGTTCTAAAAGTAGATTCAATAAACGGCATTGAGCGTGTTATCTCACCGAGAATAGCTCATGTTGTGAAAAACTGCGCAACCGTCTACTGAAACAGGTTGTGCAAAACTTTGGTCCATGCCTCGCCTACCATACGATCTGTTCAATACTACTATTGGACCGATGACAAAAATAGCCGACAATGCTCCAAATAACGCGCCCTAAAACAACAACTCGCGAAACATGTTAAAAGGATAGCACCCACCTTTGAGTTTGCCGAAGGGAATACAATACCAAGCGTATACAGTCCGACGTATAGTCCAAAGGCCAGGCCCATTGAAGCATAGCAAAAAGCAAATAAACCACCCATATGCTCTAGGTATAAGGTCAAAACAAGGCACATGAGCCCGGAAAATATCACGAGCAGTTTTACGATAAAACCCTTCTTTAAAAAACGCGTAGGTAAAAGTGCAGCCACGATTTCACCATATATGGTAACAGCCTGGGTATTAAACATTGATATCAGGGTACTAAAACATCAAGAGTATAATCCCTTGCAAATATCCGCTACCAATTCACCTCAAGGCTGCGCTGAATATTATAGCCGCAAAGACACTGCTCAATCCACGAACGTCCTTACTAACGTCCATTACGAAAAAGGGCAACATTTCATCCATACCGGCTATTTCACCTGCCGAAATAGGATCGCAGTTCTCATATTTAGCATACATGATAATGCCGTTAAATACGCTTAGCAATGTTATTACCGCAACCCCACAACATTGTAAAAAGAGCACCCTATAAGACATACGTCATAGTGGCTAACTTAAAGTGAGGTGATTACTTTTTCATGTCGGCATGTGTTGATAGTGTAGTGTATTTCCGGACAGATCCCGGTTGAAAGCTGACTGTAAAAAGCCACAGGGTGGTCGAACCCAACATCATCTGCCAAAATCCGTCTCTTTGCGTGAGATCAAAACTGAAACTTAGATAAATCTGTCAACGCCCTGAATTATTTGGGTCAGCTGAATACTTAAAATCGAATCGATTGCCATGTATCGCCTTTTCTAGTACAACGTGAATGCCTTCTAACGAGGTTACCCCAATAAAAACTACGGTGACCAGCACCAGCGTAATTCCAAGGGTTTGAAGTGCATCCATGCAAATTCCGGCTTTGAAGTTCCCAATGACAGTGCAGCACACACAAATCGTACAAAGAACCATGGTTATAATACGCGGATTGATTCCAGTTGCTGCAAATTTGTATGAGTACGAGGATTGCTTTACTAAGTAGGTACCTTGAGACACCGCTATCGAAGGGATATACGCCAGAATCGCACTGTAGACAAAACCTTGTAGTATGGTTACATATGTAGCCATAGTCTTAATTCTTCTACTAAATCGTAGTTCGAAATACTCCAAAACGTTTGGGCTCTTCAATTCGGTCAGCACCGGTAAAAATGCAAAGTATCCAATAAGACTTGCCAGGAATATCGAAAGAGACATCCACGCCGAATTTGCGCCGTAGACGTACACATCGGACGACTGCCCCAATATTGTAAAGCCGGAAATTTGACTTGAAAATTGTAATTTATTACGTATTTTGTTGTGTCAAATTAGCTTACCTTGCGACGAGCGATAGAGCAACTGGGCATACTCCCGCGTTTCCAGGATGCGTACCGTTCGGGTTTTTCAAAAAACCGAAACATAAAGTCAAAAATTGTACCCCACAAAAGATTAGATAGTCGATTACGTCGAACATCGAAATTATCTTTAAAACGCTGAGAAATTAAAGTAAGCACATGGTGAAGGTTGCTTATGTAATTATAATTTTTCACACAATTGTGTTTCATTATCAGATGATCGTTTAATTATCCTCTCTCCTTGTCTAATAACCGTATTTAGACTAATTCAGGCCAATGGCATTTATTCTTATTTATTTGGTAGGTCTAAACTCGATTGGTCTATTAATTTGGAGGGTAGTAATTTTGGGGTGCTCTTTCGGGCGAGTGGGACGGCTACATCTAGTACTCAAAAAACTTTCAATTAATTTTAACACGGAATACATAAAAATATTATAGTGGATAATGTGTAATTTTTTCCACTTTTTTACTGGACTGTTTTGGATAAAGTTTATTTTTACTGTAATTGTTACATTTCGATATTTAGTTCAATATTTTTACGCCATCTGGGTATGTCCTTTGTCATCCACTAGTTTATATACAAGTTGTTCCTGTAGTGAATGTGTTCCAAGTGTTTATAGATTTCCCATTATCTTAGTTCTTTACTTTCGCTCTTATTACAATAGTTCTTTGTGTCGCCGACGGAGGTCTTTGATAGTTTTCTTTAATTTCTTTCGGCGCACACGCTTCTTTGTACAAAAACAAATTCAACCATTTTACTTGTAGAAGAACGTATACGCCATGGATAGTTGGGATCCATTGTGACTGTATATGTTTAGTGAAGTTTTTCTCTTGTTATTTTGATTTGGACACTTCTCTACCGCATTTGCGGATATATTTTGTAATTTCCAAGGCCGTCTTCGGTATGTACCCAAAATTACGCCTTTCCCTTGGCATTGAATAATCATTTTTTACGCTTCTTACTTTTGGCTTACTCTTTTCTTCATTATGACCTACCTGATTGTTGCTCCTACGTCGATATTCCTTAGTGGAAATCGCATAATTTTGGATTTTCCCAATATTTCGCAAGGTACATTCATTGTAGAAGCCCCACCGCCATCTTATCATTTCAAGAGCACCTGCGATAGATGACTTTCTACATTACCGGCTTGAAAATTCCTTTTACCCGATTACCCATTCATTTCGAAGTTGTTTATTCCTGGAGATTTCAAGATTCCTATAACTGCAAGTATTTACGAAACCCCGCAGACTATTACTCTTGTAAATCGCTCCGTTATACCTGATACTATGTACTTTCTTATTGTCGCTACCGAAGATTTAACTTTACCGATATCGAGACCCGCTTTTGTCAAAGTTTCTTTCTGATTGCTAGGAAGATTCATTTCGGTTAATTTGATTGCACTGTATCCTTCATATTAGCTTTGTTATACCGATATTAGCTACCGGAGCTTTGTAAATTAGCTTTTGAAGTTACCCAGTTTTGGTCTGAGACCGATATTTACAATTTTCAGTTACGTTATTTGTTTTACTCCGAATTGGCTCATATTATCTTGTTTACATTTCTAATTCGTTAGATTACATTGCCTTCATATAGAAATTTAGTTATTTGTGCCTCGTAAAGTAGTTTTCTTGTATTTAACGTCACTGTTATGCTTTTATACCCGAATTTGTACAAGAAATTCGCCAAAATTTCGCTTTTTCTAGTGTAAAATCATTCGAATTATTGATTCCTTGTGAGTATTAATTGCAGTTTTAATATCAGATTGGGCTCAGTGTCAGACCTTAGCATTGCTTACACAATATTTTATGTACCGCGCGATTCACTTCCTCTTTCATTTTTTTGTTGTTTTGTTTTCTGTTACAGAAAAGGCTGAACGCGCTCTTCTGAGCTCACAAGGCTGCGGCCCGATGTTCAAAGGTACTTTCTTTATTTTTCGCCAACTCCTTGATATAACGGTTGATTACATAGTGGTTTTCGATTCAATCGAATTGTAATTATTATATTTGCTTGATATACACTTAACAATTATAACTCCGTTGTTTTCTGTGGATGCCCGACCTGTTACTAATTCTTAGTCTGACTACGTGTACCAGAACAAAGCGGATTTATTAGTCTGCATTGTGGTCACCTTTGGAAAGTGACTAAAGACTAAGTGGCGCCTATCCGTATGCCTCACGATAATTTTGCTACTTTTGCCTAAAGTGAACGTAACAAAATAGAGATAAAATACCTATTATAAAATGTTTACCGAACTTTTGTTTTTTCAGTTGCTGAAAGCAAGGGCGAATTTATTTATTTATTTATTTATTTATTTATTTATTTATTTATTTATTTATTTATTTATTTATTTATTTATTTATTTATTTATTTAATTATTTATTTATTTATTTATTTATTTATTTATTTATTTATTTATTTATTTATTTATTTATTTATTTATTTATTTATTTATTTATTTATTTATTTATTCCATTTATTTATTTATTTATTGCCCCTCTCAGCAGGTTTGTACCCAATTACAGAGTGACCTGCACACTGCTTTTAAAAGGTGTCCCTGGAGAAGGTCTTAAGTTGTTCTATACTACTCCGGTATTTAACTTACGAATTAGGAAAACTGCAGGAAAACTTAATTCGGAATAACCTGCAGAATGCTCGAAACTGATTTAAGGAAATTCCTATCTCTGCCACAGATGAAAAATGCTTACCTCGGCCAAGGGTCGAACACCCGACCTTCCTGCTATGTAACCCAACGCTATACCACTGAGACACATAGCCGGGTTTAAAGTTTGGATGCCATATCTAGACACTAGCTACCATATGGACATAGTTAAATAACACACTAATCTTTGTCTAGCATAAAAGAAGCGAACACCCTGATTATATTATCTTCTTTTCCTATCTAATTCGATTTACTTTGTGTTTTAAAATAAATGTGTGCGATCGCAATTTTTGTAAGGAAACACCGTAAAACTTTTTACAGTTGATTCTCTTTCTTTCTCTCCCAGAATTTTTCTTTTAGTTTTATACCGATCACAAGAACACGTTTTTGTTTTGTAGGATAGCGAGTTTTGCCCATTGTGGAACAGTTCCATTAGCCTTTATCGTTGTTTAAACAAAGTATTTAAACAATGCCTTGTATACTATAATTCAATCACTTCTTCAGCTCAGTATGTCAGATAATACCTTGCTCTGTGTCTGGGACTGCATCCAGGGAGGGAATTAGTGACATTTACCTGGTTCTGTTTTGTGTGAAGATTATTTACAGCATCAATTTTATTGTTGGCAGAAAGCAATCCAATTCGCGGGCCTTTCCTTTAGGTATCTTTCATAGTGATAAAAACCCTTGATCCTGTTCTGTCGGTAGAACGGACGGGCGGGCGGAACGACGGAGCCGAGTACCACCAAGGGTACGGCTTTTCCCCTGGTTAAGGTCGACGATCTGACAGATCGGTCTCGAAAGGTTAGAGTCAACTCAAACGGAGTAAACGGCAGCTCCAAGAATTCCAAAGGCAAGCGCCAGACGGCTACTTGTGAATTCCGACAGAAAATTAACGCGCACAGCAATTTCACTAGCAGGAGCAGTAAACAATCGGATTCAGTAGCGGTATCTATGGGAAAGCAAATGCAGAAAAGCGAAACAATATCCGCCCCCACCCCTTATAATTAATGAAACTTAGAGCTTACGTTCCAATTAAGCCGAGCGGCCGAAATTCAAGAAAAAGCAAAAACTATAGATACGGTGCGGTAAACTTAATGTAAAAAATAAAAACTAAACTATATGAATGCAAAATAAATTTATGGAAAAGCTCAAAATTACGGTACCTACAAAACGTAGCTTGAGAAAGTGCAAAAGGCAGAAAGATTCGCTCTGAACAATTTTATAAAAACCCGGAGAAACGGTTTTTCTAGCCGACACAGAACGTTCAAAAATTACAACTTCTTTAATTAATTGTGCCCACTTAATATGTCTTAACCAAGGTGCTTACATAACCAAGTCAAAGACGTTGCTTAACCTCACTCCATGATGACAGGATTACCGAGTTGATGGACGAATTGAAGCTTTAAATGTGACTGAAAGCGTCAAAAAACTGTCGCCAGGTCACGAAGTTAATTTTGGACTGCAACCATGTCAAGGGTATGCATCAAGGCATGGAGCGAGTAGCGAATCAAATTCGACAGAAGTACTGGATCAAGCTCTTGATTGACCAAAAGTTACAGTCAAAAAACGATTTGTTTTTCTTAAGGTTATCCAAACTAACAGAGGTTACACGATTCTTTAAAATCTTAAAAGTTTAAAATGAAGCAGTGCATTCAAGTATAAAATATTTGTTTAATTCATCTTCGCCCCGTTTTCTACATTTTAGTTCCTTGAATCCTGTGGTTACTATATCCTTTCAGGATAGATTTACGTGTAGTAGATGGTAGACCTGGAAGATTCATTTCTTCATCGTTCTTCTGTAGATTAGGATTTGCGATGTGCATTTTATTTTTAGTAAAATAGCTCACTAAAAGTCCTACAAGGGTTACCACTAAAGCGCTCATAACTGGATTGTACCAAAAGGAAAATCTGAACAACACAAAAGGTTGTTCTTGCTCGAAGAGTGTTCTGAAAGTATTATTTAATGCTGGATACTCAATAATCAACCAATACTATTTACTTTGGTAGAGTGATGTTAACTGGAATCTCACATCCTTCAATTGAAACTGGTTTGGCGAAGCTTTCACCTGCTCCCTTTAAGGTATACCATTGATTCAGTACCATAACTGGGCCCACGCCAAAGAAAGCTGCTACGGCTCCAAAAAACGCACCCTTACGAGTTTGGTGAACATAGTATCCATTGATTGTTACTTACCTTGGCGTTGGACATTGAGAAAATCACACCTAGAGTAAACAGTCCTATCTGTATCCCACATCCAAAGCCCATAGAAGCGTTAACAAACGCCAGTAAGCCTCCCACGCGATCGACGAAAAAGGTTAAACTTGTACAAATACAGCCGGAGATTACTACGATTAGTTTCAAAATCAAAGTCTCTTTATCCCCGATGGTCTTTTTGGGGATAAACGTTGTGATGAAGTCTCCGTAGACTGTAGCAGATAGTGTGTTAAAGGTAGAAGATAGTGAACTGTAACGGGAGGATGGATTACACGATCGAATACGTACGAAACTTACCTTAGGGCAGCACAAAAGGTTCCTGCAATGAAAATGCCTGGTAAACCGGTAATGTCTCGACCGACATCCATTACGAAGAAGGGTACAATTTGGTCCAGTCGGGTTACTTCGCCCGTCGATAATGGATCACAGTCTTCGTACTGTGCATACATGATGATTCCACTGAAAACGCACAAGAGGTGTATGAGTACCAAACCGCAGCATTGGAGAAACATGACTCTGCAAGTAGGCCATTAGTTCGCAGTCAGAAACGAAGTGCGAAGGTGCTACACTTTAACACGTTTAAATGTCGAAAGCGAAATGTACTTTTGCACAGTCCCCGGTTGAAAGGTAATGTTGTACAGCCATGTTGCCATGCATCCAATCACCATTTGCCAAAACCCATCCCTTTTCGTTGGATCGATACTAAAACTTTCGAGGACCTTGTTTTTTTAAATTGTCCACCCCATTTTTAATACATACTTAAAATCCAGGCGATCGGTCTTTAGCGATTTTTCAAGTATGGCATCTACACCACCCACTGATAAGATTCCCAACACAAACACGGCGGTAACAGCTGTAATCGTCCCTAAAAATTGAATGGCGTGGGTCCATACGACCGCTTTGAAACCTCCAATGGTGGTGTAAAATACGCAAACAGCGCACACTATAGGCGTGATGATATGCGGGTTAACCATGGTTGCTAAACAGAGAAGGTTCACTTAAATCGAAAGGGTCGGGCTCACCTTGCGAAAACGCAATGGCTGGTATGTACGCAACCACCGGACAGTAGCACAAAACCTGGATGGTGTAAAGACACGACGCGATTACTTGAATTCTCCTATCAAATCGCAGGTGAAGGTACTCGTACACGTTGGGCCTCTTCAGGTTGACCAAGGTGGGTAGAAAAACAAAGTAACCAATTATGCTCGCGACCACAATAGCCAAACATATCCACACCGAGTTCGCACCGTAAACGTAAACGTCGGACGGAAGTCCCAAAATTGTCAATCCGGAAATGTGGCTGTAAATTTCGAAGTAGAGTTACTGAGGAATCGAAAGGGGCTCACCTTGTCACTAGTGATATCGAAATTGGTGCGACGCTCATCGAGCGGTTTCCCAAGAGGTACTCGTCCGCGGTTTTGGATTTCTTCCAAAATCCGAAGTAGATCCCGATGAAAAGACATAAGGTTATTACGCACCCAAAGACACAATAATCGACTAACGTAAACATTTTGGAAATATTTCTATTTCACGGTTCGTTATCTGCAGATGATTGGATTGGGTGGTATTTCCTTCTCGGTCATGGTCGTTTCTGATTGTAATGCTCACATGCAAATCAATGTTTAAAAGCAAGATGCAAGATGCGCAACTATCGATTATTATTAAAACTTATTTTAATCGAAGGCTTGTTTTCAGCTCCGCTAATACTAGAGTTTCTCGTCAACTATTCCCGTTTCTTTGATCGATTCTGTTTAAAAGGGTCACTATCAACCCTGTATAGTCCAATAACTATATATATCAGACCATGCGTCAAATCCGGATCCATAATTTCAAACAGTTCCAAGATTGGGCTTCAAGTTCAAAAGTTCCAGCCCTTTGAATTTTTTTTCGAAATTGGTTTCTAGTCCATAACTTTTGATTGAGAAGTCCGATCGAAAAAGTACGAATTGTTTTGGATTCTACGCACCAAAATTAATAAGAAATAGTGTTTTCCCGAGAAATTTTGGTGCAGTCGATTTTTGGTAAAAAAGGAAGGTTATACACTGCCTTTTTTTGAGGCTCGAAGAAAAAATTGTCTCAGATCGACCCGGAAAAAAAATTTTCTTATAGAATGTGGCCTGTAGAATCCATAATTTCAAACAATTCCAAGATTGGGCTACTAGTTCAAAAGTTACAGCCCTTTGAATTTTCTTTCGAAATTGGTTTCTAGTCTATAACTTTTGATTGAGAAGTCTGATAGAAAAAGTACGAATTGTTTTGGATTCTACGCACCAAAATTAATAAGAAAAAGTGTTTTCCCGAGAAATTTTGGTGCAGTCGATTTTTGGTAAAAAAGGAAGGTTATACTTACACTGCCTTTTTTTCAGCCTCGAAGAAAAAATTGCCTCTGATCGACCCGGAAGAAAAATTTTCTTATAGAATGTGGCCTGTAGAATCCATAATTTCAAACAATTCCAAGATTGGGCTATTAGTTCAAAAGTTACAGCCCTTTGAATTTTCTTTCGAAATTTGTTTCTAGTCCATAACTTTTGATTGAGAAGTCCGATCGAAAAAGCACGAATTGTTTTGGATTCTACGTACTACCACAATTAATAAGAAAAAGTGTTTTCCCGAGAAATTTTGGTGCAGTCGATTTTTGGTAAAAAAAGGAAGGTTTATACACTGCCTTTTTTTGAGCCTCGAATAAATAATTGTCTCAGATCGACCCGGAAGAAAAATTTTCTTATAGAATGTGGCCTGTAGAATCCATAATTTCAAACAGTTCCAAGATTGGGCTACTAGTTCAAAAGCTACAGCCCTTTGAATTTTCTTTCGAAACTGGTTTCTAGTCTATAACTTTTGATTGAGAAGTCTGATCGAAAAAGTACGAATTGTTTTGGATTCTACGCACCAAAATTAATAAGAAAACGTGTTTTCCCGAGAAATTTTGGTGTAGTCGATTTTTGGTAAAAAAGGAAGGTTATACACTGCCTTTTTTTGAGGCTCGAAGAAAAAATTGTCTCAGATCGACCCGGAAAAAAAATTTTCTTATAGAATGTGGCCTGTAGAATCCATAATTTCAAACAGTCCCAAGATTGGGCTACTAGTTCAAAAGTTACAGCCCTTTGAATTTTCTTTCGAAATTGGTTTCTAGTCTATAACTTTTGATTGAGAAGTCTGATCGAAAGAGTACGAATTGTTTTGGATTCTACGCACCAAAATTAATAAGAAAAAGTGTTTTCCCGAGAAATTTTGGTGCAGTCGATTTTTGGTAAAAAAGGAAGGTTATACACTGCCTTTTTTTGAGCCTCGAAAAAAAAATTGTCTCAGATCGACCCGGAAAAAAAATTTTCTTATAGAATGTGGCCTGTAGAATCCATAATTTCAAACATTTCCAAGATTGGGCTACTAGTTCAAAAGTTACAGCCCTTTGAATTTTCTTTCGAAATTGGTTTCTAGTCCATAACTTTTGATTGAGAAGTGCGATCGAAAAAGTACGAATTGTTTTGGATTCTACGCACCAAAATTAATAAGAAAAAGTGTTTTCCCGAGAAATTTTGGTGCAGTCGATTATTGTTAAAAAAGGAAGGTTATACGCTGCCTTTTTTTGAGCCCCGAAAAGAAAATTGTCTCAGATCGAATCGGGAAAAAAATTTTCTTATAGAATGTGGTCTGTAGAATCCATAATTTCAAACAATTCCAAGATTGGGCTATTAGTTCAAAAGTTACAGCCCTTTGAATTTTTTTTCGAAATTGGTTTCTAGTCCATAACTTTTGATTGAGAAGTCCGATCGAAAAAGTACGAATTGTTTTGGATTCTACGTACCAAAGTTAATAAGAAGAAGTGTTTTCCCGAGAAGAGTTTAATTAAGAATATCATTTACACCTCTCGTTTTCTTTTATAGAATTACAGAACAACAAAATAGTGCTAACAATTTTCGACTTTGAAAAAAATCGATAAACTTTGAAAAGCATTATCTCGTAAACTATTACGTCTATAGAAACGGTTGTAGCCTCAAATTGTAAACAATTTAGTCTACTTTCAAAGCGTATTCGTTAGTTATTTTCGACAAACTGGTCCTTCAGGGTTAAAATCGTCAAAATCTGAAAAGAAAACGAAAATTCCTCGGTTTTTAGTATATTTGACTATGTTGCGTTCGCCGCTCGAGGTCGAAAACTTGAATTATACATTGGGTTAACAACATAAGCAATCCCACAAAAAATCGGAACTACCGGATTTGACGCTTGGTACCCCACCATTTTTAGGAACAAAGTTACTGGACTATGTAACTACCCATGAAAATATACACACTCCCCGTTTCGATGTTACGTAATTTTTAGGGAAATTCAACTATTTATGTTTAGTAGTGCCGTGCTCTTTGAGGGATGAATCTTCTACACCGCGCGCCACCCATTCTTCTTTCTTTAAATGATTCACTGTCAACGCTTCGAATGTACTTATATGGAAAAACCATAGTCGTTTCAATATTGCATCATTCTCATATGGACCAGGAAAAAACAAAAAACCCAACAAACTATTCCCAGAGCACCTGGTACTGGAAGCCTAAACAACTCTCCGAGGAGTGCGCCGGTAGCTAATGAGCAACCTGAACTCCCATCTACTGAAGTGGGGCAACCTGGGAGCTCTAAGCAACCAGGTAACGCACCTACCGAGACTGCACTGAGGACTGGGATGCAAAAACCACTTAGGTTTAGCACTCCCAAGGGAAGTAGCTTAAAAATTGTTGATCACATGCGTCGAACTATCCGTGGACTGGTTGAGGTTGAAGTTATCGAGAGCAGCTCCGTGGAAGGAGACAAAACTTCGATGCGTCGAATTGAAATTGATACATGCGCCAAGTCACTTCCATCGTATCGTGCCGATGTGCAACTGGGTTCCCATTATCATAATATATCCGTCGATATGGAGCATAGGGTGGAGCTTTTGTTACTCGTATACGAATGACAATGATTAATTATTTCAGAAACAAACATTTTTCTGAGTTATTTCAAGTTCTAAGTACTAAGTGTTTTGTTCTTTAATCACACAAAAAAACAATTACAAAAAATAAATAATTCTGCACTACAACTATGACTGAGAATCTTCAAAATGGTATTTATCTGTATCATAGGAACTAGCAATAGTGTACATGTCAAGAGAATTACCATTCATATCCCGTTGCACTAATAGGAACTTGAATATCGGACTAATGAGATCGGGATCAACCCATGGTCGATCATTTTTTGAACACCAACTTACACAAAGTCCAACCAGTGTCACAATCAAAGCGCTCATAACCGAATTGTACCAAAATGACAATCGAAATAGTACAAAGGGTTGTTCTGGTTGATGTATGTCACTAAAATTGATCACTGAGATAAGTTAGCGCGTGGTTTTGAATACCTGGGCTGAGTGATGTTGATGGGAGTTTCACAAAGTTCGACTGAAAGCGGTTTTGCAAAATTGTTTGTGATTCCATGCAAGGTATACCATTGGTTTACTATAGTAATGGTACCAACCACCGCAAAACCGGAGACAATTCCCCAAAGCGCACCCTTCGAGTGTGCCATTGGAAAGACCATGCCTAAGGAAAACAGCCCAACGAATAATCCGCACGTTACTCCAACCGAGCCGTTAATAAACGCCATCAGACTACCCAGTCTGTCGACGAAAAGCGCCGAAATTATACAAATGCTTCCGGCGATTACAACAATCGATCTTAAAATATGACCCTCTCTTCTCCTCAAAACATCATTCGAAAGAAAAGGCGCAATCAGGTCACTGTGAATCGTAGCTGCCAGCGCATTGAACGTTGCAGAAAGAGTGCTGCAAGATTCATTTAAACAAGGAAAGTGCGGTCACTCACATACCTCAAAGCAGCACTAAACAATCCCGCAATAAAAATTCCGGGCAATCCCGGGATGTTTCTGGAAACATCAACTGCGAAGTAAGGCAAGATTTGATCTGCTCGGTCTACGTCGCCATTCTGAATGGGATCGCACCCTTCGTATCTTGCATAAATGATAATACCAGTCAAAATGCTCAAAAAGTGTACGAACACTAATCCCAAGCACTGCAAAAGAACTACTCTGCAAAACAAAATTAGAAAACCAAGCAAAATTGCGACTACGGATACCTTTTGGCATTGGAAAGTGCTGGAACTGAAAGGTATTTTTGAACGGCTACCGGATAAAAATTCACATTATACACCCAGACAGTGGTACAACCTAGTAGCACTTGCCAGAATCCATCTCGCTTCGTTGGATCAATGCTGAAACTGGGTAAAGGTTAAAGCTTAAATTTCACTGAGTATACTCACTTAAAGTCGAAACGTTGGCCACGCGAAGCCTTCGTGAAGACCGCATCAAATCCACCAACCGCAGCTACGCCTAATCCAAATACCGCGGTTACTGATGCAAGAATACCACCAATTTGAAGAACATCCGTCCACACAACGGCTTTAAATCCTCCAATTGTCGTGTAGAATATGCAAACAATGCACATTGTAGAGGTGACGATGTGAGTGTTGATTCCAGTAGCTGAAACGAACTTCTAGTGCGCCTTCAAACTTGTCTGGGCATACCTTGTGAAAACGCTATCGCTGGAGTGTAGGCCACCACGGGATTAAACAACAGCATCTGCAGGATATAAATGCAGGACGCCATGATTTTCACGGTCCTGTTGAACCTCAGCTCCAGGTATCCGAATATGCTCGGCGTCTTTAGTTTCATTATCACGGGCAGGTAGATGTAAGACGCCAACGGGCACACGATCGATATTGCCACGCACATCCAAAGCGAGTTCGCGCCGAAAACGTAGGAGTCGGACGGAAGTGCCAAAATTGTAAATCCGGAAACTTGACTGGAAAATAATTGCCGCTGAAAAGGCGCCTCGAGTTGAAGCTCTCTCACCTCGCGATGAGCGACAGTCCGATGGGTATGACCTTCATGGTCCTGCTACCCAGGAGATACTCGTCCGTGGTTTGCGTTTTCTTCCAGAATCCGAAGTACACCCCGATGCACAGGCTGGCGAGTATCACCACGATGAAGACGACGGAATCTATTATCGTAAACATGGCGAGATGTAAACGGGACCATTAGTGCCTCAATTACTAACCATTTACATGATTAATTTAAATAAGTCGGGTTGCGCTTTTGTTTATGTACTTTGTTGTTTTTGCGAAAGTGCTTGTGCTACTTTTAAATCGATTCGGTTGCTTAAGTAGGTTATTGTGAAAGAAATACAACGAGTTCATAAATTGTTTTGTTCTGTAACTGTATTGGGCCATAGATAAATAGTTATATTTGTGTTGGATGATCTTAGAGACTACCTACGAAAGGTATAGTTGACCTACGAGACTTGCCGAGTGGGTTAGATAATACCTTGAGTCACTAATAACTCGTGTATCCAATATTACAAAATTTCTACCTAAAAATGCCTCGTGGATGCTATAAAAAATTTTTTTGTTTCGGGCTAGTTTCTACGAACGTGCTGATGAAGAACTTTAAAGGTTGGGGGTATGTTTTGTTTATGCGCGCACCCTAAGAATTCTATCCGATTCTTCGCCCTGAGTGCGGAACCCTAAACTTTAATTGCCCTGGTCAGATCTTGTTGTTTATTTGGTGGATTCTACACAACATAGATGTTATAGCTTTATTTTTAGCTTGATGAGATCCTTGCCCAGATTTTTGGATTCTACAGGCCACAATCGTTTAGAAATTGTTTTTCGGATAGATTCCCCACAAATTTTTTCTTGCTCACTTTTATATGCAAATAATAACAGCCTTCTCTTTGTATGTAACTCATTTTTATTGCTTTGTCTCCATTTTTAATGGTCAGATCGTGTCGGTTATATGTTTTTATTATACCTGAATCACAATCTCCGTTTTAAACACTCAAATGCGTGCGAAAAAAGGCCTTTAAAACACACGTGCTTTAAAGTTGCTAAGTAACGATACTTCAAGTATCACTTTTGAAACTGTCATCTGGGGCTGAAATAAAAGATCCTCTTAGGTCGCTTTCTGTAAATGCAGAACATTTCTTTGGCTTGCACCTATCCTTTGGTTGAAGGTTTCACAAACGCGCGTAATTTAGGGTATGCTTTCAAATCTGTTCCACTTTTAATCTCAGCATTGTTTGAAGTTTTGAGTGAATGCACCAAAAGATAGGAGATTTAAATACCTTTGAGATTTCCTTCATATATCCCAGCATTATCGACACATTTAAGACTTTATTCGTAAGTAACTTCCTTTTCATCCATAGAAACAACTTTCATATTCTTTATAATAAGCTTTACTGGATTTGGATTTTACACCTACCTGCAACGTTTGTTTAGATTTTACAAGAAGCGATTTAATGGACGGTGTATTATCTTTTTCAACGGAAATCGTTTTATTTACAAAGACGATGATTTTTATAAGCAAACGTCAAGTGAAATTTCCATGGCAATCGTGAAATTTCGAACACCCAGCCCACTTAATTAAACATGTATTCGAGTATAACGTCAATATGATTTCATTGTATTTCCTATTTTTAAATTATACTGCAGGTATAATAAAAAATACTATAAGATACACGTGTATAATTGGTCTTTAAAGCACTTGCAACGTTAAAAGCACTCCGCTTTGCGTCGTGCCCTTAAACTCGTTGCGCGTGCTTTAAAGACTTGATTATACACTTGTATCTTAATATACTATTTTTTGGAGTCTATAGACCAACATTTATATCAAAAAGTGACATTTGTTATTTCTTGATCGTATTTCAAACGTTTCAAATTGGATGATAAGCAGTCCTTATTGTCAGTTTCCTTTAATGCACCTCAAAACCACTCAGCTCCAGCGGTATCAACACCCCAGATTATACCGTTTGAAGGCTATGATGCGAATAACGAAAAGTTCTCTTTGGAGCGTTTTGAAAATTATTGTGATCTTAAAAATGTTAGTGATGATACTAAAACAGGCTCAGGTGTTATGTTTTTAGAGAGGAAGAGGTCCTTACAATAATCTTGCCGCACTTTTGGACTCAGATACTCCAATAAAATCAATTGAAATCAAGATACTAGTAGATTACCTTACAAATATGCTGTCTCCTTCTATCTCTAACGTTGTTGCTCAGCATTATCATTCAACACTGAACAGTCACATCAATCCATCTCAGAATTTGTCACATCTTTGAAGGGAAATTTGAAAGACTGTGATTTTTACCTGCACCTGTAAAAAGGAATTGTTCATAGCATTACTTTTCTCCATGCCCAGTTCATCAGAGGTTTGAAAGATAATTGGTTCCGTGAGCAACTACGGCGGGACAGAAGTCTCATGGATGTTGAAGGCCTCCTCAAGAAATCAACAGGATTAGAATGGCACTACGAAACTGGTGAGTTGAGCAAACAACCTGAAACCTGCAGAATTAATCGTAATTCCTGCGAAAAAGTCAGTCACGTTACAAAGGTGTGCATCACTACTCTACTGAAAAAATCGCAAATAAACACTCTCCCGCCCCAACACCCCCAAAAGGAAGTGGATAGTTCCTCCGAGGATGAATATGGCATGGTTCAGATCGAGGATGTATACAAGGTTGGACCAGACACGAATAAGTATGCCGTATTACTCTTCGAATAACGCCCGTTTCGTTCCGTCGTAAAGTCACCGTCTCAGTCGTCTACCGAAGAAACACAATGGAGGCTGATCGGCTTATAAAACCAACTGGCTTTGCTCGGAAGGATATGGATTCGTGTACTCCGAATCAGCCTAAATGAAAGAGATAGCCGCAAACAGTTAGCTCTTCAGCCAGTACAGATAAATGCAGTCACTCTACTCGAAGACATTTTCAAAAAATATGCATCCATTTTTGAAGAACGGGAGAAGGTCGAAAGAGAACTGAAACGTTACCTTACGAACTAGGAAAACTGCAGGAAAACCTAATTCGGAGTAATCGGTAGAATGCTCGAAACTGGTCTAAGGAAATTCCCATCTCTGTCACAGATGAAAGATGTTTACCTCGGCCCAGGTTCGAACATCCGACCTCCGGCTTTATAGCCCAACGCTCTACCATTAAACTACAAAATCGGTTCAATTATCTCTGAAATGTGTCGTTTAATCAAATTCAGAAGTCCCGGGCAAAGATTAAATCAGTTTTTCAGACGTCTCGACCAAGAAATGTGGATAAATTAAGGCGATTACTTGGCTTAATCGCTTACTATGTAAAATTCATCGCGGATTTTATCCACAAAGTGCTACCCATTATTCCGTTTACTTGAGTTGGGTGAACGATTCTTTTGGTCAGCCTCTTTCCTAAATCTCAGGTCAGAGTTCATAGTTGTGCGGTGACAGGGTACTAATTTGACTTGATCCATCAAAGCGGGTCACCCGATGGCAAGGATAGCTGCACTACGCAGTCACGAAATTCATGGTCACGAAAGGCCAATGTAGTGCACTTTGCGAGCGGTTACTCCCTGGTTGAATACAATAATAATAATAAAGAATCATAGAATACCTCTATTATATTGTTTACCTAAATTACATAAAATTAAAGATAAATCTAACAATTTTATTAACATTTTACTTAGACCATTCGTTTCCCAAGTGTCCTCATCTACCTATAAATTTGCTAATTTTCTTAACAAAATATTCAAAGACATCACTAATTTCAAATCTCAATTTTCTATTAAAAATTCCTTAGACTTAATAAGTAAATTTAAAGACATTCACTTACCAGATAAAAGTTTTCTAGTAAGTTTTGATATTACAAATCTTTTTCCAAGTATACTCACCAGTCGATGATCCCAAAAAATTAATTAAAGAAATGCTTTTTGAATCTGAACTCAGTAATTCAGATACTGATAAGTTTTACAGACTCTTTGATATTTGTTTAAATCAATACTTCTTCATATTTAATAATAAATTTTATAAACAAACAACCGGTTTTAATATGGGTGGAGCATTATCACCATTATTAGCTGAAATTTCCCTTAATCATTTAGAAAAACATAAACTTATCAACAACGTAATATATACATAAACCATTGCATATTATTTTGGTATAGATATGTAGATGATGTTCTTTGTCTTTTTAAAGGTTCAGACACTGAACTTCATACTTTCTTAACTTTTATAAACACTTGACATCCTAATAATGGACTATGGAAAAATCCACAAAAAATGCTTAACCCTTTCTTAGACACCCACATTCACACCACAAACAACAAATTTGAATTTGAAATTTATAGAAAAGCTACACACACAGATAATATCATCCCTGCATACAGTTGTAGTCCTTATAACCATAAACTAGCTGCAATTAACTCCCTAGTCAGTGCACAGACTATTGAACGTTCCTACAAATCATAACAATTATAATAGGGAACTAAGCATAATTAAACAAATTACGATTGCTAATGGTTTCTCTTTGACTACTTTACAAAAAATTATCAACAAAAAGAAAAATAAGATACAGTGGATGAATTTAACAACTTTGACTCCTATTACACAAAATAATTACAAATATATCGGTACAATTCCTTATGTAAATAACATTCCAGATACAATTATTACCATTTTCAAAAAATCTAATTTCAAAATACCTTGTAAAGCCTATCATTAAATATGTCTCTCGGCAACCATAAAGACAAAATTCCTCTTTTTGAAAATTCCGGTGTATACAAACTAACATGCAATACTTGTAAGGGTTTATATATAGGAATGACCAACAGAAATATAAATATTAGAGCTAACGAACACTTTAAAGAAATTAAAAACAATCAAATTTATAATACTAAATCCAATTTTGCTTCACACATATTAAATACTGGTCATGAATTTAAATTACCTCAAAATTTAGAGTTATTACACAAACATAATAATTATCACAATTTAGTAAATTATGAACTTTTAGAAATCCACAAAAATTTCAGTGAAATGATAATATCGTTAGTACCATATTCAATCACATATTTAATCTCGTTAGTTGAATTCATTAATTTAAATATAAACGTCGCTTTCATATAAATTCATATACAGTGAATTTTTTTTAAATGCGAACATAGGAGTTTGCATGCAATGTAATTTCCCTATGTTCGATTTAAAAAAAAAACCATCAATCTATGAGGTGTGCGCGGTTCACATTCCCAAATCGTGCAACTTGTGTGACTATGAACAGCAACTGATAGTCTTTATGATGAAGAGCACTCGGTAAGATTTTTTTTAAATCAGCCGTGTGAGGCCATAGTAACTTTAGGATAAATTTACGATAACTTGACTTCACATGGCACGCGCTGACATCGCAATTGATTGTGAACCAACCAACCAATTATTTGTAGGCCATGTGCACCTGGTATTCTACTAATTTGATTTATTCAATACATAAATGAAGAAAATAAGAAAATAAATAACAAAAACAATTACAACAAATGTTCGAACTGGCCTCCTTGACATTCTAAGCAATAACCTAACCGATTTCATAATTAAATAACGGCGGTATTTTAAAAAATGTGACAGCTGTCAATTGTATCTACTACTCATTTGAACTACTCAATAGATTGATGTGTTTTTTTTTAAATCGAACATAGGGAAAGTACATTGCATGCAAACTCCTATGTTCGCATTTAAAAAAAATTCACTGTATGTAATAAAGTATCCTACCTTGTAACATAGTTTATAAAACTTTAATTTTAGTGTTTTGATAATGGCCATTAAAATTATATGACCGAAACATATATATATGTAATACATAAATTTGGGAAAGACAAATATTTCTTAATTATACATCCCATATATAAGGATATTGATCATCCACTTCATTGACAACATAGTTCGCTGCAAAAATGGTAAAGAAAATGTGAATGTTGACTGTCTATCCAGCGCCCCGGTATTGGCGTTAGGGAAGCCTACAGAAAGATAGACAAAGATCTCAATGCGCTATGCGCTTAGATTCTGTTCCAGATTTTGAGAACAATTGCTGAGAAAACCACAGAAACCGAGAGTTACAAACCTCGTTACATGACCTCAAGAATAGTCGTCAAGATAGCCTCGTACCCCGTTTTTGGAAAAATACTTTTCCATTCAGGAAACCTAAACGGAAACGCTCGAGAGGCCGCCATTGAAACCACGTTCTCCCCAATTGCGAATTCTACGTTCAACTAATATAAACGTGCAGAAGATTTAAAAAAACTTGGAGCAATAAATTCCCTAAAGGTCGGCTCTCAGCCTTATTCTGCACAACGATTTGGGAAAGGAAGCGTTTGATCCCTCCTCTACGACCACCACGTGGGACCCCCAAGTACTATTTTCGTACTTTGCCTCCAAATCTCAAGTCTTCAA